CCGGGGAGACCAAGAACAATAACCCTCATGTATGTGGTACTTTTAGCCTCCGGAACCAGGAACAAAAACATCAATAGTGTGTATTTCGCGCAAAAGAACAAAAAAAAAGGGGGGGGAGGGGGACAAGGAACAAGCCGTTTGAGAAAAGTCGTGCCTTGCATCGTTTATCCGGATCGGCCTTGGTTTCTGCGCGTTGTACTAGTAAACTAACTTTTACTCTCACCCGCCTCCGCGCGCTTCCTTCTGCTTCACTCTCACGTGCGTGAGTGTGTGGGTGTAGTTCAACACACACATACACACACACCCATCAATCTGTTGAGACGCTCCATTTCTGCACGAAGACCCTGTCTGAGCACATGTTGCCATGAGTTCCCACCGAGCGACTGACCGTAGCAGCTAAGCGACACCACACATGCTGGGAAAGCCATGTACAACCCGGCTTCGCTACCGCGATCCCCTCCGACTTTGCTTGCCCACGTCATCCTGTATCTTTTCTTTCCCCACGTTCCGGTGAAAGAGAGTTTTGCCTTACTCGTTGTTTGCCCGCGACACCTACTCTACGGTTGCGTTACATGTCATTGCTGGAACATGACTTGGGCCAGGGCGCCAATATACCTCCCAACTGCCGGTTTGAGAAAGAAAAAAAAATGAAGCTCACTATTGCTGTTCCCTATCAAACATGCGCGCATATTTTCTCGTACCATTCAGCACCTCAATCACACCCTAACCCCATCCACAATCCACACCTTTCCATCCCCTCCCCATTGATCCCTCTCCCAAAAAGAAAAGAAAAATCAAGAAAAGGAAACAAATCTGACCATTCATTACCCTCGGTCGACCAGATCTCTCTCCATCCGCCCGCCCAAATGCACCCACCCAAACACCCCTGGCCAGCAAATCGCCCAGGAGCCCAATCGGCACAAGCTCCATTCCTCTCTCCCTCAATCACTCACCCGAATGATGCCCAGTGTAAGCGAGGGTCAAGAAGCAAGGGCGCACGCAGACAAGGGGTGTCAGTGTGTGCGTGCGCACACACATACCTCCTTCCCGCCATCCGCGCATCGGGCGTATTACGTGCTTGCCTAATCCAGAGGTGTGACGGCACTACCTACATGCTCACCTCGCATCTCTAAAAAGTCGTCCGTCTGGGGGGGAGGCGAGGCGAGTAGCCGTTACCGTTATACTAGTGTGATTCAAAAAGATCGCCTAGCCATCTAAAAGCCGTTAGGTTGGCAGATGATCAATAACTCGCATTTTTCGCCTTTTACCCTTTCCTGTTCCGTTAGTCTGTATATGTATGGGGAATGTGGCTGGTTAGCGATTGCCAGACCCCGTTTGTGGGCAAGAAACAGGTACCGGTTGACTATCGGAGGCGAGGAAGGGAAGAGTGGCGAGAGCTGCTAGTGCAAACGGCACAGGGGGTGGGAGGATCAAAGCGCATGGTATGATTATCGGTGGGCAAGTATTGGCGAGTATAAATCAGCACGGGAGGGGAAAGGATAACGAAAAGAGTGTTTGGGCCCGTGGGAGTGGTTACGGCATCTGCATCGGAGTCTTTTTCTTCACTCGCTCATCATTGCGAGTCTTGTCGCCTATCGCCACGGCATCTCATACTCGGAGAAGATGGACACTTGCTTCGAGGGGCTGTGGATCTGTGCTACGTTGATCGCGCTTCTATTCTTGTGAATTTTTTGGAGACAGCAAGTTGGAGGCGTCATCGTCGTCGACATTTACCTTGTTTGGGCCACCCAAGCCTCATTCTGCCCATTTTCTTGTCTTGTTCGCCTTCCGTCACGGGTAAGCTGCTCCGCAGCATCGTTGTTTGTTAAGACAAGGTTTTTTTCCTAAGTAGTTGATGGTGGGTCATTTTGGCAAAGCCGGATATTGGAGAATGGGTGGAGGCGAGTCGATCCCTTGGGGACAAGGGGTCCGAATGGAGGGATTGCGCCTTTCTTTTTGCGGCGCAAGATGGTTGATTGAGTGGATGCGGTCTCCCCCCGTAGAGTAAGATATGGGCATGCTGGATGTGGAGAAAGCAAGAAAATGTACCCGTGATAACGGCTTTTAGTTGGCTGGTGCGGGGATTGATTTTCTCTTTTTTTGCTTCTTCGTTCCCCTGCAACGTCATTGTCACCATATCTCTTTTCCTTCGGCATATACTCCATATTCCCCTTTGTGTACTTCCTTTTGACACTATCTCTCCGCACTACCGCCCCCTGCTTATGTAAATCATCCAGCTTAGCAAGGTCATTGATTGCCAACAGGGTAAACCCGTTGGTGGTCGCCAAAAAGCAATGACACACACGCGCACCCTAGACCCCCGGTCCATCGCGCCTTCATCCGAGCTCTTCAATAGTGTCAACGTCGGAGACAGATTCCCTTCCCGCTGATATTGCTCCGGCGCCGCAAACGAAAGGGTAGACCCCGGTTAGCTCGACTGCGCGGTGCGAATAATCGGCCATCCCAGTAATCGCGCCTTCTTGCCGCGTCGTGCGCGCATCCTGTTCCCCGCCTGCGCGCTCGGCTCCGCGCAACCTACCACAGCTCTTACTGTTTTTTCTTGGCCTTGTGTGATTTATCGCACTTTCCTCCTGTTCTGGGGCTTGCCACACGCTTGCTCGGCAGCCGTTTGGCGCAGGAGTAGCGAAGTGGGCGCGGGACAGGTCCCCGAATTGCTAGTAGTCTGGGCGTTATAAGGGCAGGGGTTCAGGGTCCGCCTACAAGCGGTATAGTTTGCGCAGGGTTGCTAGTATTGAAAGTCGCGATCGCGCTTGGGCGGATAACTTGTATATGGCGATGATTGCGATGACGAGGAAGGCTGGCGTGTCGTCGACTTTGCGAGGGAGGGATAGCCATGAGGCATACGTATGTGATGAATCGTGGTTGGCAGTAATAGGTAGTCGTGTTGGAGGTTCGCTTGAGCTAGACGGTTCGACTACTCCGAACCAATGGGACAAGTGTATGTACATACATGCTCGTGGTAAAGAGGATTCCGCAACCCCCTTACGTGTGCCTCGTTGCTAAGGCAAAACTGATGTATCCTTGGAATGAACCCTCGAAAAAACTGCAAAGAGAACCCAAGTTTGCCAGGTGAACACATCACGTGTAATCGTTCTCTCGGAACAGCAAGATTCCTTAGTGTGTGATACATCGACGAGACAGGGTAGCTGCAAATAACACCACTTGTGATGCGCATGCCTAAGCTCTACCCTGCTGTCAACGGACTGAACCTATGTTCCCTGCCGTTCTGGCCCTGACGTGATCATGTTCGTCAGGCCACGATATTGTGGCTGCGGCTACCGCTGTCTCAGATCAACCTCATCGTGCCATTGTGCACGTCAACATCTGAAACCATCCTATGAGACAGGCAGGACCCCAGGTTACTAAACTCGACATGACGTGGGTTCGGCTCGGTTGGCGTGAACATGCTGACGCCCGGTGAGCTTGGTTCATCGTCATGTAGCAAGTTGCGATATGTGAGACTTGTATGTGCGCATGTTTCGACATTTTGGGTAACCTTGAGCCGTGTAACTGCATTTCTAGACTGAGGATGCATTCAAACGTTCCAGAGCCTCTAACAAGATGAGAACATTGGTGTTGGAAAGTGGTGCTGTGCGGGCCGTAAACTCTGCAGCTGTCTGGAAGGACTGAATGTAGTAACGGGGTATTACAGAATCGAAGCTTCGTAAAGAAACATGAGAAAGTATGTTGCGGCACCACGTACCATACTGGGTGTTGAAAGAAAAACACCTCCCCAATTCATCCAGATGTAAAGTAAAAAGCGCGAAATGTCGCAAAGAAAGGTAGGGATAAATGGTTATAGAAAGAAAGCTAACGCATAATGTAGAAAAAATCAAAAAAGGACACTGGTTATGTAGTACAAAGGAAAGGATTAGGGGAAAGACCAATGAGAACGCGCGCCTTGCAATATTGCCTGGGTATCTTCCCTTCTCTTGCTCCGTTGTTGACACGCCCTCAAACACCTAGTCTGTTGTTGCCAAGTTTGCCTCGCCAGAATTGTGGTATGCGCCGGACGTTTGTCAAATCTTTAGTTGCTGCGCCATCAACTCAAATCTCATCCTCCTCGTAAAGTGTTTCCTAACCTATCCTGTCTTCCCAACGCCGCCGCAATGCTCGACTCGCTTGTAGTATCGCGCGTCGAAAAGATGTACGTACTCCCCGATATATTCGAAAAGCTTCAGGAAGTGTGAATCGAAGAAGAAAGGCATGCCATGGCCCAAATCGTGGTTACGTCGTAGAAAATATTTTGCCAATTAAAGAAGAATGCATGCACGTCCAAAAGAAGTGTGTCGCAGATGCTGAAGTAAATCACACAGAGGACTTTGTGACCAGCACAAACCCTGTAACCACTCCCCCCCCCATTCTCCTCGCGTTCCCAACCGTTGGGTTTCTCACCATGCACGGAGGGCCTCGACTTGACTAGTTAAGCCCCCAAAGCCATGGTCGGCCAGTCAATGGTATCTTGCGTCTGGTTCACTCGGGCCGGTTCCCAATTGCGACGGGGTGTATGTGCGTGGTGGTTGTGGTTGCTGTTGTTGCTGTTGTTGTTGTTGTTGTTGTTGCTGCTGTTGCTGAAGTTGTGAATGCTCGTCCTCTTGTGCCTCTTGTTGAGCAAGCTCCATGGCCTGGAGCTCTTCGGCCTTGTCTCTACACGCGTTAGGCGAGAAGCCGCTCCCGACTTTTGACGAGACGATACGCCATCGGTCATTCTCGTACTCTTGCATAGCATTGCGAAGCTTGTCAACCTGTTTTTTTGCGATTGGGGTTAGCATGTCCGGGCTTGTGTTTGCCACACACGACGTTGTGTGTTTCATGACTAGGAGGAGGAGCTTACCATCTCGGATGTCCAAACCGTGGTCTTTGCTTTGAGCTTGGTGCAGTAGCGGACCTGCAGAGTACCCGAGCTACGGCCAGGAAAGAAGTCTGCGATTTGCTTCCAAGTGAGGTTCTTCTTTTCCTTGAGATCGACGAGTAACTGGTCGTCTTCGGGGGTGAACTTGAGTTTGGGGCCGCGGGGTCGTTGTGCAGGCGCGGGCATTCCTTCTTGACCTACGACGCTAGGAGGACCATGGTGATGAGATGGTGAGGGAGGCGTGCCATCCATTGCGTGGTGTCGCTTATTGCGATGAGTGCTTGGTAGATGGTGATGGTGAGTTGGAGGAAGAGTCGAGTGAGGAGCGGGCGGTGGCGGCGGATACTGTTGAATAGAATAACTCTGAGTCGCGTGCTGTAGTGAGACGCTTCCTGTTGCTTGTGCGTACGGGTTGAGCTGTTGCTCTAAGGTTGGGGTAAGATCGTGCGGCAAGTCGTCTGGGTGGCTGCGCTTGCGTCCGGCGGTTTGCTGGGGCGGTGGATAGCCCACATTGTAGGATGAGGGAGAGTGTTGCGACATGGATTGATGGCGCAAAAGATGGGTTGGGTGTAGTGAGTGTGTCTCGATGTCCGTGTAAGTAGGGTGGGAGCTGGTGCCGGCATGTTGAAGGGTCTGAGACGGGTGTGGCTGCAGGAAGGAGTGATGGTATCCCGGAGGCAATCCGGTATGAGAATGCAGGACATTGGAGTGTTCGACGCTTGAAGTCGGAATATGATGCTCTTCCCCAGCGTTGCCTGGTACGCTGTAGTCGAGGAAAGGGCCTCGATAGGGACTCGCCAGTGTTGCTAATACGCATGGAGACTACCAGAGCAAAATCGCTCTGGCAGGCCGCCGATATGAGACCTGAGCCAGAAAAGAACAAAAAAAGGGAGGAGTGAGATGAAAAAGAGTGCCTCGTTTGAGTCAAGGATTGTGGTTGCGATGAAATGTGTCGCACGCGTTTGGGTTATCTCCAATATTTCTATATTGACAAATGTTGGAGCAAGAAGAGCTTGGGGGAACGCGCCATCGGACAAAGTGTTATCGCGTGTGTTAAGCTTTGGGGTGGCCGGCTATAGCTTGCAGCCTTGTAGGGGAACAGACGAATAGCAGGTTATTGTTGGGGACGGCTGTGAATTATATGATATTTGTGCCTGAGGGCAGAAGGCATTAACAAGGTCGGGCAGTATCTCCCCTCCAAAAACCCGGTCCGTCTTGTGCGATTGCCACACGGACACAGACTCCAAGCATGTACAGTAATGGGTCCTCTCCACGAGACGCTCTGTTCCTGAGAAGGACCAAATGAGCTTAGTAGGGAAGGCCCAGGAACTGATTCTACGTCAAGCATAATGCGGTGATCAATGACCAGGCCTGCCGAGGGGAAGGGGGGCCTGGCACACGATCTCGTCGAGTGCAATGCTGCCTGGCTCGTGTGGTGAGTGGCTGCCGTTGCAAAATGAGGTGGGAATGAGGTACTTTGGCCGGCCAGCGGGGGCCAGCGGGGCCCGGGGCGTGCGCGGTCCATGCCATGTCGTTTATTTCTAGAATATCACAAGAAAGATCTCCAGCACCGTTGCAGCTTCTGCACGACGAATCCTGGCGCAGCGTGGTGGCCAGGAGATGTGCATTGAGGATGTTCTGAACCGGCTAGCGACACGGCAGGGGCACAGTGGGCAGTTGCCGAAAGGGGAGCGCCACCACCGAGCAGGTGTATGGCAGATTGATGAGACAGAGTCTACCCAGCAGACACACAGCCAGGACCGCGGGAGGAGCGCTCGGGACCTGCTCGGGGGCGAATGCGTCAAGCGGCCCTGCCAGGGTCATCATGGTGGTGGTGGAGGAGGATGAGGAGGCGGGCAACGGTGTGTAATGGCATGTGCATGGTCATGGCATGTAAGTCTGGATGGTGGTGGATGTGATGGTCGGCCATGTTCAGGCATCCGGTGCCGGTGCGTCAACTGAGGGTCCCCCCCTTCATACCTGGAAGCACCTTGGCCGACCGCAGAAACTGGTTGAGCATGACGGAGCTTTGCAAAGACGTGAAGCTTTGATCCAGGCAGGATGGGCTTGTCTCTGTCGGCACTCACGCTGCCGTAGCACCCGCCTGTAAGCAGTGGGACCGAGCGATGGGCAGGGCCTTTTGGTCATGGTTCTCTAACGCATAGGCATGGCCGGCCTCAGATTGGCTCATGCGTAAGCCGTTTCAAGGTATACACTGCGACCCTGTCCTATATGCGCCTCGTCACCCCCCGTGAGATGGGACTGGTACACTGCAAATGGTACCAGCCACAAGAATACCCCGACGCCCGCGCCAGATGACGCATTTCGGGCACGCTGCCGAGAGCCAGCAGGCGTGCGGAAGTTGCCAACGGCCAGTAGCAAAGCGGGCCGGCGCTGCGTGACCGGTGACAGTTTTTCGGTTTGTTTTTTTGGCTGCCTTGATGTGCCGGGTGCTAGTCCTTAGTATACCTGAGACAGTAGCTGGCGAGGTTGGGGTGGTTGGGTGGTTGGGAGCATGGCGGCAGCGAGGCGTTGTGGGGGAGAAGGTGAGTCGACGTCGGCTGCAATTGATTCGGACCTGGACGCGCTAGTATCGGGAACGACAGCGACAGCAGCAGCGACAGCACAACGCAGGCTTGGCGCTGCTCGCTCGCTACTCAGGCCGGCCGCGATCTGCCCGCCCCGAGCCCCCTCGCATACACACATCTCATCTCTCGACCGCATGCATGAGATGAAGGGCGGATGGCGCTGACGGGGCATCGTGGGTCGCCCAAAAGGGTTGCGCGCCTGACGGCTATGCCCTTGCCCGGAAGACGACACTCCTCACGCTGCTCACCCTCGCATTCGCCTCTCAAATCCACCCTCATGCACGTGATGGGCCTGCTACAGGCTGCACTCTACAAACCCACCCACCCCTGGCCGCGCCTGGGTCCTCCCTGCTCCCTGCCTATGCAGCCCTCGCTATGACCTCACCGTTGACATTCAGGCCTAGCTATGGCCTGCCAATCTTCAAGTACTCGACCAGCGGCGCATTATCCATTTAGGCTGTTGCGGGCCTTTGTGAACTATAGGCTCGACGCGACGCACCATGTAACCCACTTCACTCTCGCCCTCGCCCTCGCCCTCGCCCTCGCCCTCGTTCAGCACTCTTTCCCCCATCCGCGACCCTCATGTCATCCAGCCTGTCTCGTGAGCGGAGCGCGTGCAGGGCGTCGAGTCCAGGTGGACTGCGAGTTGCGGCACATGGTGGGCGACTGAGTTGAACCCCCAGTCGCTCACTCACACCGGCGGGCCTCTGCCCACCTGCAGCTGCTACAGTTTCCAAAAGGAAACAGAAGGACAAGCGAAAGAGAGAAAGAGAGAGGAGGGGAAAAGAACTCGGACCTCTTCCCATTCCCAAGCGCCTTGGGAGTGCAACCACTTGCACACCCACTGAACTGGCTCGGTAGTGTAGCCGGAGCCTTTGTCTGGTAACGGCCCCCGTTACACGTGGCTATTTGCAACAGAGATTGTCAACACGACCGCCGATTGCACGAGCAATTGGTCCATTTTTTGTTGAAGGCGCAGTTGGCTATTTGTGGCACACTTGAAGGCGGGCTGCCGTGTCCGTGTGTGTGTGTGTGTGTGTGTGTGTGTGTGTGTGTACTATATGAGTGTGCGTGTGCCAACAACAGCATAAGAACACGCTGATCGGCATGCGGCAACTTGCAGGAATCAGGCAAAGGATTCAAAGTGTGGCGAGGTGTCGAAACATTTGGTTGAACTGCTGCAGGTTTGCAAAACCAGCGATATGCTGACATGAAACAAAAACATAATCAGGACGGACCAATGAGCAGTGCAGTGATGACCTCTTTTTGCGAAGCCCTTTCCCCACGTTTGACACGCCATATTGCCATGGGTAGGCCATTCATACGTAAGGATGGCCGATACTAAGTCCGGGATTGGGACAACCCCTCGCAAGCCCTTTGCCGAGCCCTCTTCCGACAGGAGAGCCAGAGGAACCAAAAAAAACTCCCCCAAAATAAACTTGGCCACGTTGCCCCGAAAACACCCAAGCATTGTGTAAATCATCAAAGACAAAGGAATCCTGGGGTACGCCATTGCCCAAGAAAACAGAGTGCGGAAACACCAAGTAGGACAGACGGATGGCTACCTCGGCTGTGTGCAGGCCGAGCTAGATTGAGAGAAGAAGAAAGCTGGTGGTATCGTCATGAACCTGGCGCATCGTACGAGCAAGCGGGAACATGCAGACGGACGGTGGGCATGGGTCCATCAATACTTGCCACCAAAGTTCTCCTTTGCGTATTGCTCGCATGCCTGGTGTCCGTGTTAGCAGCAGAGTCGATGCTTGTCCACGGGGACGCGAAACAGGCCGCAACGTACTTTTGCAGGTTTGCCGACCTTCTGCCCAATAACTTTCCACTTGTTGGCATCATACTCCTTGATGGCGGCAAGCAGCGCGGCGCTCTTCTTACTCATCAGCATACACGCACGACAATGTCAGCGGGTGCACAACTCACTTCATCCTCTGCGAACTCTGCGTAGTGCATGTCCTGGAAAGTCAGCAAAGAGGCAGCGCGACGGTCGGGGACTGGCTTTGTTTTCCTACCTTGTACCAATGCTTCTTCACACTTCCTTCGGTTCGCTGCGGAAACGTCTATAGAGCACGCGATCAGTCATTTGGTACGTCTGGCAGGCGCCGTGCGTGTGTGTGTATTTGGAGTGAAGAGCTAAAAAGGGAAGCAGTGACTACGGCATGGCGCACCTTTGCAATCTCACTCCAGCTGTTGCCCGCATCTCTCATTTGCTTGAGTCGCAATTCTTCGGCTGGGGTCCATGGTGTGTTGGTACGACTCTTTTTGGCCTTTGGTTCCTGGACAGTGTCTGGTTGAGCGAGTGGGGGTAATGCTGCACTGGTTGCGTGGGCTTCTACGCTGCTCTCTGTCGCACCGGCCATGGGCTCGTGCGAGTGTCCGAGTGTGACCGACTTGCGCTTCCGGCTGGTGGGAGAAGGGAGTGGCTGCTGAGGGCCGAGATGGGTGTCTTGAGCCGGGGCAGTCAACGAGGCGGCCGGGTGTAGAGTGGGCAGGTCGGCAGGTGGAGCAGGACGAGCTGTCGGGGGTATGTTGGTGGTCATTGGCGATGGCTTCAAGCTGCGCTTGGTGGAGGGCGGGGAGCTGTCGGGAGCCACGACGTCAGCATACGCGGGGAAAAAAAAGAGCAAACGGCAAAGCAAGAATGCAATGGCAAAAAAAGGTCTTGCAGCCGGGGCCGGGGCCGGGCAAAGGCTGCTGGAGAGACTCACGACATGGCGGCAGACGGAACGAGACGAGAGTCAACGAGGACAAGAGGTTAGCCAGGCTCGGGGGCGGCGCGACACAAGACTGCTTCACTGGAGAGCGCGAGGAGAGGCTATGTCGAGCAGTGTCATGCCGCTATATTACAGCTTGGAGAACTGCCTTCAAAGAGTACGACGGCCAGAGTAAAGGCAGCAAAGCATCATGATATCCAAGTAGGGCGGTCGGCTGCAGCAGCGAGCGCTGATCAAGTACAAGGAATACAAAGGAGGTCAGGTTGGCAGGAGGCTGGCGAATGGGAGGGGGGCAGTGGCAGCATGGTGGAGGACGAGACAGAGGCAGTGAGGTTGAGTGGGCGGATGCTAGCGGGGGTTGGCGGCGGCGCTGGGGGGCAGGTGGGTAGGGGGTACATGTGAGTAGGTGAAGTCATGGTGGAGGACAAAGTACAGATACGCGGGGACGCGGTGCAGACAAGAAGCGGGGTAGCCGGCTCTAGGGGCCAGGCTTAGATGAACAGGTGGCTGGCGATTCAATGTTACCGCGACAGCAGGATGGATGGATGCTGCGAGGGCGGGGGAGAGAGGGAGAGAGGGAGAGCGAGGGCAGCGCGTGACAGGCGAGGTGCATGCATCGTGGACTTGATAGTATGTACTAATGGGTGCAGCAGCAGGAGCAGCATGACGGCGCCGGCATGGCGTCTTGCGGCTGTCGGGCGGGTGAGTGAGTGAGTGAGTGAGTGAGTGGGTGAATGGGGGCGGGGCCATGTTGGGTATGTGAGTAGTGGCAGGAGAGAGAGAAGGCAGAGCGAGTGCATGTCGTGTGAAGCAGAGCCATGGCCTGGCGGGTGGGAGGTGACGCGCAGGCCGTGGTGGCATGCAAGCGAGTGGTGGTTGGCGATGATCACGACTAACGACTACGACGACGACGACGTTGGGCACAGGGAAGCGCGGTAGACAAAAGTCGCTGGCCAGAAGCGGGGCAGGCTGGGCTGGGTGGTCGCGTAGCGTGCATGGGCCGGGCCCTCATCGGTAATCAACACCATGGCCGCTGCTTGCCCATGGGCCCAACCAGCCAGCCAGCCAGCCAGCTAGCCAGCGAGCGTCACACAGAACCGACGCCGCCGACTGTCGCTATCCTGTTGTCGCTATCCTGTTGTCGCTGTCGCTGTCGCTGTCGCCGTCACTCTCGCAGTCACTCTCGCCGTCACTCTCGCCGTCACTCTCGCCATGCATACAAGGCCCCCCCCGCAATGTAAGAACGTACTGTATGTCCGTGATGCCTACATACATCCAAGTCAGGTAGATGCTTGTACCTGCCGTACTAGTACGTACACACATGGACGCCGCACACTCACACATATTGCCCTGTGTGAGCAGCCGCTCACCCACTCCACCCACCCCAGTCTTGCCCGCACCGGCACGGCCATCGGCCATTTCTCACCAAACACCAACAGCCCTCGCACATGAAAAAAGCACACAGTTAGTGGGCAATGCGGGGGAATTAAAGGCTGCCTCAGACATGCTGTCGCTGCCACCAGGCCATCAACCGTTCTCTCCACGCTCGCCTCTGCTGGTCTACATGCCAGCCAAGCGTCAGCTCCAGCCGCCCTGACGCAGCGCCAGTATCACCACAAGCCACAGGTGTTTGAGAGAACCGCTCAGGCTGGCCCCGCCACTGACCGCCAGTCGCTAGTCGCCGGCCGGCCCATGGCCCATCGCTGCTGTCGCTGCCACTTCTGCCAAGTGCTTCCGCCTGAAATGCCTGCCTGATCTGTTGATGCTCACAGCGGAATCCCCTCGACCCGAACTTGCTCTCGTTTCGCTCGTCTCACACAGCGTCGTCATCACCGCCTGTCCATGTTGCGTCTGCACCCCCCCAATCTCCCCCATTTGCCCTCGACTTACTCGCGACCTGCTGTCTGACAACTGCAGTCAATGGAACTAGTCAAGAAGAACCGTATCGCTACCATCAAACCTCGCCGATCCTCCATGGCCCATGTTTCCCCTCGACGCCATTGGCGAAGCCGCTCGGGCCACCGTCCCCTACATACCCTGTCACTGCGTCTTCTGGGTTAGTCCCCGCCGTCACGACGCTCTGGGCGCTGCTTGTTTCCCTGCGGGCCAAACAACGTCAAACCATTGCCTCCGTCAAAACTGCATCAAGTCCGACGCGCGCGGTTTTGAAACTCGCCCCGTGAACACGGATGAGGCTCACTCTGTTATGCGCCCCACTCGCCTGCTCAAGGGCCCCAGGCATCAACATTGAATGCGACTACAAGTCCGTTCCCCTTCCGGCTTAACATGTCTCGTGTCAAGGTTCTTCCAAACATTCTGGCTACGAACGCCCGTCATGCCCCATACCGTCGATCAAGATTCGAGTAGCAGAAGCGACGGTTTGAAAACGTTGCCAATGTCAGAGACTGCCTCTCCTCATCAGCCTAGTCTGCCACCTGCAAGACAATCCCGTTTCCTGTCCTGTGTCCAAACTCTATAATTACTCGGCTGCCCCAAGTTTCGAGGCCTCAACCGCATCTGTTCAATCGGCAATCAGTCTTTTGTTTTCTTAGCAGCCTTGTAATACTCTCTTTTACATCCCCACTGGTTTGGGCTGCCCTACATTCACTTAATCAACATTGCTGTGCAATCTACTTGACCTTACGGCATAATACCTTCTTTTTCAGAGCTAGACTCGATCAACCGCGAACAGACTTCTTTATTCAAAACAAGACGACTCAGCACCACTTTCTACAAACACAATCATCTCGCCAGCTCCTCAGCTACGACAACTCTTCAACCATCAACATGCTTCACCACCAGCCCCAGATTCTCTCTCCTCTCCCAGAGATGAACTCCCAGTCCCCTACCGATTCTTCCAACCTTCGTGCTCGCAAGATGTCGGCCGGTGGAAACAGGTCCTGGTCTGAAGAAGAGGTGAGCTCCTTGTTCATGCCTATCAAGCTTCCCCTCCCGTTTCTAACATCAGACAGGAAAACTACCTTCTCCAAACCCGCATGCAAAAGATGCCTTACAAGCACATTGCCGCACACCTCAAGAAGACTGAGCTCGCCTGCCGCCTCCACTACCACCAGCTCTCTCACGGTAGCCACCGCCGCAAGCGCAACAACTCTGTCTCCTCAACCACTTCGTGCAGCTCCGCCGGCACTTCTGCTGCCTATGGCATGGTCGCCGAACAGGATGCCTACTCCCAGTCGTCTCGTCACAGTTCGCCTATGAGCTACACAGGCAGCCCTCATGTCCGTGCTGGCTCGGTATCCAACTCTCCCGGCCGTTCGCAGCACAAGATTCTCCTCCCCAAGCCTCGCACTCTTACCCCCTGTGGCTCGCCCGAGCCATACAACGGTCTCCGCATTAACACCGAGGTTGCCCACCAGCCAAAGGTTGTCGATACCGATCGCCTTCGCTCCATCTACGAGTCTCGCCGCCAGCAATTCTGGGCTACTGTCGCTGCTGATTACGGTGCGGATGTTTCCCCTGCCCAGCTCGAGGAGATCTGGCGCAGCGGCTCCAACGCCGTTCGCCCTCCTACGCCTGATGCCTCACCTGACGGTACCATCATGCACAACCCCGTCTTCAAGCCTGCTCCTTTCCAGTCCTATGCCTCCCCTGCCCAGAGCGAGCCAGCCAAGCACTACAGCCCCATGAGCCAAAACAACGCTAGCGCTATCTCTGTTCCGGAGCGCATGCCATATGTTCTCCCCATGCCAGTCCCCTCTTCTGGTCGCCCAAGGTCTTGGAGCTCTGCCCCAAGGGATAACATGCCCATTGCTAGCCTGCTCAACGACGACAGGAACTAGATTGGTTTACTGCCTCTACGCTTCTGTACACGATAATAAAACACATGTTTGGCATTTAGGCACATTGGGAATATGCATACTATGGGTTAGCACGGCTTTCATTTCTTTACTTTCATTAATTCTCCATTCAATCAATGCGTTCTTTTTTTCTCCTACTCTACCACTCAGTTGAACTAGGCATGGCATGGTATATGCGATCTTCTGATATGACACTGCGCGCGTTTCGCTTTGGTCTGGCTGGGGCGGAGCTTCTTCCATTCACGTCTCTGGGATTTGTCACTGTTTTCCACTTTTCTTTGTCTTTATTGCAAGGGTACCTTATTGGCTACTGGATAGAGCGGGTGTTCTGGCGTTGCAACTGTCTCGTCTTTTTTACAATTGTGGATATAGCGTCAGACAGCTATGTAGCATCCAGACGTGTGGCGCAACCCCAGGTCTAGAACAAAAATTTCCATATGAACGCCTTCTCCGCTTGCTGTGAACCTGTGGCGCTAACACCACATTGTCTTGATTATGAATGTGGGAGATATATTATCATCTAGCATTGTTTGCGATATTGGACTGTAGTCACCCTGATAATCTCGCTTAAGCCCCATACCTTGTTATTTCGAGGGCACTAAGCGAGAATATTGTAACAGGTGTTCGGGACTACTACTAGCGCTTGACATTTTGCCAGCCGCCATGCTCGACATTGTGGATTTGTGAACCTGTCATTAATCCTTTGCGTGCAGTTTTGAAGTCGCAAGTGGGTAAGACGTATAGTACACTGTGATATTATCGGCGCTTGCTTGCATTGCAAAATTACTTATTCGCATTCGCGTTCAACAAAATGCACGCGTCGTGCATAACCCCATGTTGCACAAAACCAAAGGTCGGGGAAATCGCCGAACCACAAGGGGAGCAGGCATGCTTGTTATGGCACAAAGTCCCTACTACGCATCTGTCACCGCCCAGCTTCTTCACTCTTGTCCGTCCTCGTCCAAGGTCGCGATGCATCCTCGGCGGCTACGTACCCCACCCATCTCTTACTAGCTCTTTCCCAAAGAAAACATTGTCAAATGAACAATCAACAACAAACAAAAGAAACTCCCAACCGCCGGGAACGGGGTAAGCTGGCCGTGCACACGTGCCTTATCCCCCGTGCGGTTCCTCCGCATTTCCGTATCTTGATATCTCTTTACTTTTGCGTCTATCTGTTTGATTGAAAGCAATGACACTACAAACAATTTAATCTCCGAAAAAAAGTACAGGTCGCTGTGTCTATCAAACATCAAAACAACTAGTGCCCCTCCCGTCCTGCAGGAGTCAACAACGGCCTTGATTTCTTTTCCGGCTCTCGCCTTTGTTTCCCCCAGGCTATTTCCCGCGCACCACAGCGTTCACTTAGGTGCACACGTTTTCATTTCCTGAGTTCTGCAGCGCATGGGGCGCAAGCACACCAGCCACCAAAAAGGGTAAGTAAGAACATCCAGATAAAGTTCAGATAAACAAATGGCAACCACAACAACACGACCGGTTCATCTCGGCCCTCCATTGCACCTGCTGGCCCCACCTTCCTCCTCACAAACCTCTCTTGCTTCTGCTTTCCCCCTTTCATCCTCAACCCCAAAACACCATCACCTTCCAGCCCAATTCTTCTCGCCCACCCACCCGCTACACTGAAACCCTTCACTTCTCGTACTCTGGTGGCGCTGCTGCAATTGTTTGCGCGCGCGTGTCAGCCGAAAAGAATCGGGTAGCGCCGAACGCACCGTTTGGCTCAAATGTTTCAAGTACAGTGAGTTGGGGGTGGGGGTCCTCGTCCTCGCCCCGCACACATTGTTCCAAACGATGCCAAACAAAGGTTACTTCGCATCCATGTATCCGCCTTTGCCCTCCCCGCAATCCCGCAACGGCTATCGCCAATGGGGCTTGGGGACTCGTGAGGGCTTAATTTGCTGGGCTGACGATGGTCCGGTTTCTTCGCCTGTCCTCCCGCGGTGCCGTGTGGGGGTTTCTTGACATGTTGTTTGATACACGCTATCTTCCTGACCTGCAACGGGTACTATACGATGCACAGCGGCATCGCATCCTCCCCTCATCTACACACATCCACTGCATACGAACAAAGTGGGGAAATCCATCAAAATAGCGACACCAAAACAATCCCTCGTCGCGAGCCAAGTATACAGAATGGCTATGAAACATTTCACACCGCACCAGTTCCTCCTCGGCCCGCCTTGACTTGCGCACAAAACAATCGCCACTGGAATACGAGTTCATAGTAAACATGGTGCTCTACCTTCCTGTCCAAACTTCTAGAACAATACGTACCGAGGCTCACCATACCCTTCAGCCTCAGGATCACCCCGACCATAAACGGCGTTTCTTTCCTCTTTCCTTCCACATCTCTCGGCACGCACTACTACGCGATTCCCCGCATTTCCCGCAGACGCGAGACGGAACTCACCGTTATCGGAAGGCGGGTACTCGCTGGCACTAGAGCCCAATAAGTCACCAAAAAAAATCTCGAAAAATCGTACGATTTTTGTGCCGTCAACTATGTATTTACCATGTCTCCTTGCGGGAAGGGGGGGATTTGTGAACCCTTTCGGGTAATTAGGCATGTTGATCGCTCGGTATGAACAGAGGCAGTGCCGTGCCCTAATCGATTGCCCGCTAAAGTCAGGTTAACCCTACTACTTTTATCATTGCGCCAGCGATAGATTGCTACGTCAAGGTAGCATTCTTGCTTTTCTGGGGCATCGTGTTTATCCCTCGGTTGTCCTGTTCCTGGTGCTTCCGGTGAGCAAAGAAAGAGAAGCTGAAGAGGAGGGTCCACACAAGCTGGGAAGGCGTGGAAGGCGAGGTTTTCTCGGTGAATCTGTTGCTTCATCGCTGCATTCGGCCATTCCGTCTTGGATTTGAAATTTCCCACATGTTGCGCATGCGATGAGAAGGAATCAAGGGTCCGCAAGATTGGTTATACGATGGCATTTCATGCGTCTATCTGTCTCTCTCGTATCGACCATCTAGAAGGTCGCCTCCTTTTCCACGGCCCATGGCGTCAGCGTGGGTCGTGTGCATCGTGTGTTTCCATTCTAGAAGGAGGTATGGTGTTCTTTTCGACCAAACACACCGACAACCACCCCGGCCACCCCCCTTGTCCAAAAAAAGCCACCTCATTTTCGACTTACCGAACCATCGTGCACATCTCCCGTCCGCTGCTCCCTCACCCCCGATGTCATTGCCCAACGCACATCCCCAAACGCCACAGGCTGGTCCCCCCAAAAATCTGACTCGCTGATACGGCAGATTACTTGCGGGAAAGCCAATTTCCCAGCCCATCAATGTGGTTGTCACTTGTTCCCTGTAACCAGGACACTGTTTCCATCGAACTCCGATCCTCCTTGATCCCCCTTGATCCTCCCACTCCAACGAGTCAATCCCCATGTCCCTCGCGCCCCGGCGCATCTACCAAGTCTGAATGTGGATCTGCACTCCGGCAGTCCTTGCGCCTTTGTCGGGTCCCTTTGGTGTCGCCCGTCTGCGACTAGACGTGTCGGGCGTCCATGTGGAGATTCAGGGTCTGAGCGCTTCAAGCGGCGTTTATGCGAACTGGGGTTGGAAGGACGTCAAGTGGGGACAGTAACACTCTTGTTTTTATTTTGCTTTCTTTTGTTGCACGGGCTGGCGCCTTTTAGTTTTGCAAGGCGCATAAATGTTCGTTGCTAACTTCGTACACGCACGATGGATTGCAAGCCTTGTAAGGCTGATGGCTCGCGCCCATGGATTTTTGCATGAACAAAGTACAGGTTCACCTTCATCAAGTCATCTTACCACGCATGTTGCTGTGGCGCTCTTCGGTCATATCCGATTTATTTACTTAGAAAAATTGCAGTCGACCAAAGCATTGTTAGGGAAAGAGGACCGACAATCCGTGACGTGTTTTACACGTAGCAATCAGAGTTGGCCGTCCACGGTATGCATGCAAGGCATGGGCGGGGGGGGGAGGGGGACGTGTGGACTGCTGAATAAGGAGTCGTCAGGACTGTGTGTCACGGAGCTGCGCTGCCCGGATCCAATACACTATACGCTCGTTGTCGGTACCGCACGGTGTGACGTTAGACCGATAGTAATGCCGCAAGAAACTCAAGGTGGCTGAGCATGTTCAAGTGGTCGTCATCATCATCAAGGATCTGACTCTGCCTGTACCGTCGCCGACGACGACTCGCAAGCAGTGTGGTTATTCGGTTGCGAGTGTCTCCTATCCCCAGGGTCTTGCTCCCCCTTTCCGTTGTTGTCCAACGTCTTCACACCGCTCCTCTCAATGTCCCTTCTCAGCTCAGCTTCCTGTTGCGGGTCCTCGGTACCTTTGGCACTGTACTCTTGGTCCATGCGGTGCATGAGCTCTTCACCTGGCAATAATATACTTCGGTCAATTGCAAAAGGCAGACCTCGATGACGACCGCGAAGCATGGCAAATAGCAACACTACTTTGCTTAAGCTGGCAAAGTCGCCACAGAGACTGTAGTTTTTACCCGGGACACCGAGACTTAGACCGACGGTGCCATATGCTGATGTGACTTCGAACAATATAGAAAAGATGCTGAATCCGGGATCGGCATTGAGGATGTGACGTCTTTCTATGCAGCAGATGAGGAAGAAGACGAGGAATTGGAACCAGATGTCGTAGGCTAGTTGCTTCTGCAAGTGTGAGGCTACACTAGTAGCACTGTTGCCACTCTCTTCCAGCCCAATGGATCGTTCTTCGTACGTGTTTGTCTTCCTCAATGTCATCGTCATTGGATAAATCGAAATGTACCTAAGCAAAACGAAGAAATAGATGTTAGCATACAATGTATATAAACATCATCGCGCATTTGCAGCAAACTCACATGATGACGAGGTATGCAACCAGACACGCTGGAGCAAGAGAGGTCAAAGAGATGATGTACGCTCCACTGGTCCTAAGTCCACTTGCCTGAAAGAGCCCATCTAGAATCCGCGTGCCAGTCGACAGAGCCTCGACATCCGGCATACCGATGTTGAGAATCTCAAAGCAAAGCCAGGCCGTAACATCAATCACAAACTGCGTGACGAACAGATACAGCGTCTCGCGAGCGGGAAAAAGATAGATGAAGCAGCGACGTGGATGCTGCAGCAAAAACTCCATGGTATTCCTGAACCGCGACTGCGTGGGCGCCAACTTCTTGAGCCCCCAAATGGTGACGCGAAGCAGAATGGGAAACTGCGTCTGGCCCGCGAAAGCGACGGCCGCAGCGACGAGCAAGACATAGGGGTACCCGCTAAAAGGGATAAAGTTTGCGTTCAATATGTTCAGACCACCATTTGCAAACTCAGTGACTGTTGCGAAGAAGCCCCACCAGCCCGGATGGATGCCTTGCTCTGGCTGGGCCGTGTACAGCACGTTTTTGATATTGTCTCTGTAAGCATAAGGGAGCAGGAAGGTTATGCCGAGTAGATACCAGAAGACTTGGTAGCCGACTAAGATGAGTAGTAAGGCTTGTAAAGCGCGATACTCGACGCCTCCGAGCTCCATGCGGTCCGCCTCGCTTAGGTCGCGGAAGCGGCCTCTGGAATCCAAGTGCGGTTTGAAGGAGATGTAGTCGTGCTGTTCGGGTTTTAGCTCGGTGGCGAAGAAGTCGATGAAGCGGTGGAAGAGGTTCTGTGCGAATTGCGTTTCCCAGGGTGTGGGCATGAAGCCGAAGCCTGCTTCGTAGTGGTAGCTGCGTTGGCGAGATGCGGGCTTGATGTTTGCTTTGGAAGGGCCCTGTTTGTGGGATTGTTTGCCTTGAGATTGATGACCTTGAGATACTGTTGCCCTTTGTCGTAGGCCTCTGTTGCTGTTACTACTACTGCTGCTGTTATTTTCAACCTGATCTGATTGGTGATTTTGCTCAATATCCTGGACTAATCGTTGCATCGTGTGCGAGTGCTTGACGACATCTGCTAGTTTCTTGCGGAACAAGGCTCGTCTGATCAAGACTACGGCTGCGGAGACAAACGGTATGTTGCCGACCATCATCAGAATGGCAAAAGTGGCTTGTTGGTAGCCAGATAGCGGGCCGAGATCAACTGGATTGAGACCTGTCTCGCCGTTAATTGGTGAATACAATCGATTAGTATGACAGGGATTACCTGTTGTAGTCATGGCACTACAGCACAGAAACAATGCATCTGTGTACGTGATATGGGCACTACCCAGTTCTTTCGGCCCATCGGCACGACCTTGACCATACACAACCAGTGAGGAGAGAAAGATGACGACAATAAAGTATAGCATGTGTGCGCGATAAAAGTTCAATCTGAACACCTCATTTTTCATGTACTTGATGAAGTCGTCTTTCGCCTTCCGCGGGCTCTGTAACTCTTCCAGTGGATCTGTCATGATTGATTCGTCCGTGTCGTCGTGGCCGTCAAGTGGCTGCCAGGACGAACTCATGGTCGGCGGTCCAGATCAATTACCTTTGTACTGTCGCTCCAAGCCACTAAGTTTCGTTTCCGGTATCATCCGGTCCAGGGCGTCGATGTGTTGTTGTTGTTGGAAAGCCGTGTTGCTAACCTGCTGGCTGGGTTACGTTGATGATGTCACTTAATGTCACTTGCTGTAGCGTGTTTCCTAAGCGAATCAATAGCCGCCTCAGACAAGAGGCTTTTTGTTGCTCATCAGGTCCCTAGTTGTTGTGATTGGCTCGTGTAATTGACTTTTGACACGTCGTAATTCGTGACGTCGCTGCTAGTGGTTGTTTGGCTTGTACTGATTTCAACTTGCGTTCATAACCCATTCACACATACTTCCTTGGCCCTTGATGTTCCAGAGTTGGCATAACTGATCAACTACTTTGGAGTTATATTATATACACTGGAAGAAATGTTACCATAAATTAATTATTCCCAATGATTACCGTGATGCTTCCAGAATACCCAGCCCGTGTCAATAGCAGAAAGTGCTTACAAGATCAGCTACCTGGAATTTAGCACGTCAGATTTTATGAAGCGTGTAAGCTTTTTGGAATTTCCAAAAACCACCTTTGCTTGCCACAGATTGACCACTTGCTAAAATCGATGGGATACTTGAGTGTTTCGTACTTATGCTCCGCTTTTGCTCTCCGCGTTCTAAAAACATCTCTTTTCAGACGCCTGCTCAATTTATCCAGTAGTTCGTCTTGTCTAACAAGATCGCCACTCGCCTTAGAGAAATCGGCAAAATTTGATCTGGAGCCTTGATCGCTGTTGCCAATTCTATGGCGTAAAGGATTTGTTTGGCCTAGCTCCACTATACGATCGAGTAACCGCCTGAGGATCCGTGTATTGTAATGATAGAATGTCAGTTCGCATTTTGGCTTATAGCGATATAAGATGGTAAGAACATAAGCAATATAGATTGCGTCAGATTTCGGAAGAGGTGTGTGCTTAGTCCCTACTCCATTCCAAGGGACTAGAATGGTGAGATATCTGAATGATTCAATAAGATTTGACGCAGCAAGTATGGATAAGAATTGCTGTAGGTCTCGGTGATCTCTGTCATGATGGTGATGATAACGTGGTTTGCAACAAAACTGGACCTGGCGTACGTACTCCGTGAGAAACTCTAAACGAGTAACCGGATCACGGGCGAAGTTACTTCCCAGTGCCGCTCGAAGCCGATCGTTCTTGGGCGGTGCGCGTGCGCAACGTGCGCACACTACGTCTCCCAGGATTGGGTCTTTGAGAAGGTATGCGTGATGGTCGCAATGGCCGATAGGTCCAATGAAGACTAATTTGTTCTTTGCATAGTCATCAGGACTTTCATAGACGAGAAATGGGTCCATTTCAGGGAACGCGGCTTTGTAGACCATTAACCGCAACTCTGGTGGGAGTCCAGGTGAGTCGGTAAGACCATTGTTCACAGCGAAAGTGCAGAATCTCTTCTTGGCTTGTGTCTGGGTCACATCTTGCTTTGGATCGTTGGAGACTGTGTGATTGGGCTTTTCGCCAGCTTCGCCTTCGTCTGCGCGGGTACCGCCAGTCTCATGAGATGATGATGCTGATGTAGTTTCAGTCTTACAGACCGACTCATGCGGGGCTCCTAGGGCTGTAGTCGTAGGGATACCCATGGTTGCAATGCTGCCTGTGAGGAGTTAGACGTATAAGTCTTAATTGAGCTTTGAGACAGAAGTGTAAGTATCAATATAATCAGTTGAGGAAGCAAGTTGTGGAAAACACGATTAGGTTTTGAAGAGGGAAAGAAGCAATTGGTGGCAGACTCAAGCAGGTAGAATATCACCTGGAAGGTAGTCAAGATAGAGTACAATCTAAGAGAGGAAGACTAAGCTGCACATGAGTTCGTAGTGAGAGAGGCACCATGGCTTCAAGCGGGTGATACGAGGGATACTATTACCAGGTAGCTTTCCCAGGCGTGTTTTTGTAAGAACAGTAAAATGCACATGCGCTGATTGGCCCGTGGAGTAAGTAGTTAGACTAACAAGACAGGAGTTTGCGCGAAGAATTTCCCATTAGGAAGTTAGCCTCCCTCGCTGTAATATTACTTGCAAACTATTCAATCACATGTAAACATGTTCACATGCCTAGCCAAAGGTAGGCGTTTCACCCGATCACAATCACCAACATCACTTAACGAAAAACTCTATTCCTCTCACCGCTTCCATCGCTAAACGTTCAAATTAGGACCACCGATTATTCCAATCCGGCAAGCGCTTGTGTTTGCGTGCTATAGGCACCGGATAAGCAAATGCGCAAAGTGGAGCAAAGAAAAAAAGCACCACCAAGTGGAGTTCCTTCTCCACCATACACACACCAAATACAGGTACCTGAACCCTGGCGCGGTTCGGTTCCATTGCAGACGCGCGGCGCATTTCTCCTCCGGCAATAGCAACGTATATTGCGTAGCCTCAGCCCCGCCCCCCAACCACTTGTGAATGAACAGCAAATCACATTCAAATCGCAAAAAAAACGCCAGTAAACCGCAATCACGCGAACAAGCAAAAAGAATAGACAAACACGAGGGGTGTGTGCGTGCGACATGATTGATCTTTCTAGTCCGATCGGAATTCGGAATGACAAAGCAAGCCAACAAGCTCGATAGCAAAGCGACGGGGGGTGACTCGATCCTTATTCTCACACCGTCAGATAGGCGCCCTGTCAAAATGGCTTGCACCCCGCAATGACAGCGCGGGACTAAGCCACTCATGGTTATGGGTCACGGGGCGACGAACGGGCGGCGGCGGCGGCGGCGGCGGCAGCGGCCGACTCAAAGCAAATGCGACACCGCGCAATCCATGTTTGGCGATATGACTGTTACACCTCTCTCTCTCTCTCTCTTTTTTATTACCCAGTCTTGCTTCTCTCCTCTTTCACGCGCGCTCTCTCTCTCTGGTTGCCCTTGAGATTAGGCTAGTTAAGCTAGCTAGCGGAGCACAAGTAGCATGCCAACACCGCAATCACCGCCGTCATGACAGAACACCGGCTACCAGTTAAACAACTGGTCATTCTTTGTACGTTTTTTTTTTCAAACTTTTTTTTGGGGTAAATGCTGCATGCGCGCGCGATTCTAATTTAACTGTTATGTGCTTTGTCGCTGACCTTTGTGCGTGTGCGGTACTGTAGCAATATGCCGCTTTTCCGAGCCTATAGCCTTGACTTCGGTCTTCCCGTACGTCCCTGAACTCATGGAATCCTTTGGTATCCCCAAAAACGACATTGCGCGATGGGCTGGTATTTCGTCGTCGATATTTTCCCTGTGTCAGGCGTTTACGGGCCTCTTCTGGGGCGCGGCATCGGATCGCTATGGCAGGAAACCAATTATACTGTTTGGCCTGTTCAATACCATGTGGACGATGCTGCTATGGGGCTTTTCCGTCAATCTGCCCATGGCGTTGGTGGCGCGCGCTCTGGGGGGTCTTTCGAATGGAAATGTCGGCATCCTGCGAACGACCGTGGCAGAATTGTGTCCGTGGAAAGAGCTGCAGCCTAGGGCTTTCAGTGTGATGCCCCTCGTATGGACTGTGGGCGCAACATTTGGACCTACCCTCGGCGGTGCGCTTGCGAATCCGCTGGGCGTAGATCCGCGGAAACCACGAGGTACCGCATTTCTGGAAAGGTTTCCCTACGTTTTGCCAAATATTGCCGCCGCCATATTCTTTACCATAGGGATTGTTGTTGGCTGGTTGTTTCTCCGGGAAACGCTAGAGAGCAAGAAGCACGAGCCGGATCTAGGACTGAGGGTCGGCGCCAGACTCACCTATTTTGTGCGGAAACTGTTGCGTTTGAAGACAGAGGGAAAGGGTCTTGATGGCGAGAATGAGCCTCTTCTTGGCCGACAGAAGGCAGTGGACGCTGAAGCAGCTGCTTCGCCTCGCGTGAAGAAACAGAACACCAAGGAGAAGACGCCGTCAGTTCGAGATGCTCTGACATTTCAAACATCAATCAACTTGGTTGTATACACGCTGCTAGCCTTGTACTGTCAAGCATACGATCAGGTAAGTTCATTTTTTACAAGTCAGTCTACCACTGCTAACCACCTGTAGCTGCTTCCCGTATTTATGCATCACCCTATCCAGCTCGACTCTGATCCCGCAGTCTCGCTCCCGCTCAAGTTTGCTGGGGGGTTTGGTCTCGAGTCGCGCCGGATTGGTCTCATCTTTACGCTCTTTGCCATTTCGAGCACGCTATGCCAATTTCTGCTCTTCCCACCCATTGCTCGCCATCTTGGCGTGCTCCGTTGTCTCCGCATCGCCTTTATCATGTTCCCGTTGGTATTCTTTGTGACGCCATTTTTGTCGCTTATTCAGGACCCGATTACGCGGCAGATTGCGATGGTGTTGCTGTTAGTGGTTAGAGGAGTCGCGGGTACATTTGCATTCCCGACGAGCACCATCATGCTCACGAATAGCGCGCCGAGTCTACGCGTGTTGGGAACGATTAATGGACTGGCCACAAGCTTCAGTGCTGTTGGCAGGGCGGCCGGGCCGACGCTGGCGGGCGGATTGTTCACGTGGGGCGTCAAGCGCGGTTATGTGATTGTGCCCTTTTGGTCACTATCTATTATTGGATTTGCTGCGTGTATCCCGACATTATGGCTGGTCGAAGGAGAAGGTTTCGGCGACGATTCCGACATTGACGACGAGGAAAACACCGTCGAGGTCGTGCAAGAAGAAGAGGAAGAATGTGCGGTAGAGAATGGGAGGGTGTCGGAGCTACAGGGTCGCGAGGATGCAGTGCAGTCCGAGTCTGAGTTTGGAGACCTGGGCGAACCGCCGAACCTGCTGAGCCTCACGACGACACGATCGAGCTTTGGGATGGCATCAGACGATGAGGATGGTGGAGGAGAGCATGGGGGACCAAGATGGGTGGGGCATGGCCTGGAGCCGGCAAGAAGTCATTCACAGAGCAGGAGACGGGCAGTCCGGAGACGATCGTCAGTGCCTATCGGTATGGGCATCGGGTTCCGGCGATACAGTTCGAATCTGGGCAGCACGGGGATTGGAGGGGGAGGAGCGAGTTGGGGAGGTGCATAGAATGATGCATGTGGTGGTGCATGGATGGATGGTTGGAGTTTGGCGTTTGATATAGTTCAGTGGGTCTTCCAGATTGTTGCCCGATGGGGCTAGGCGGGGTTACAGATGCTTAGTTAGCTGCGGCTGACAATCGAACACGAGGACATGGCAGACGGGCGGCCCTGGGGGAGGGCGGCATGGCGTCGCATAACACACACGTACAATGGAGCGTATGGCGCGTATAGAGGGGCCTCGTTTGCAGCATGCGCAGCAAAGGGCATGGGCAGGACGCTGCTAAGTATGCATGAGCAACAGCGTCACCCGGCTGCAGGCAGAAAAGCTTACGGAACGAGCGGCAGGTCTTGTGGCGGCGAGGAGTGCGAGGGATCCCATGGCAGAGCATGCAAGGCCAGGCCTGTCCCGCGTTTCCAGCTGCAAGTGTAGGGGGGTTGGTGGGTAGCCTCAGGCTTAGGCGGGGCCCGGGGAGCAGTCGACGACCAGACGGACAGGAGAGGCGAGCTGCCAGCCCGGGGTTGCAGTTGCAGCATACCGTCACCGGGGCGCGTGGGAGAGCTGGCTGGAGCGCTGCCAGTGTGTGGCCGGATGGGTGTGTATGTACACAGGAGGGGTGCAGTGTGCCATGTGGCCGAGGGGCAGTGTGTAAAGTAGCATGCAATGTGCAGACGGGACAGCTGCGGTGGCGGTCAGAAGCAACCCAGAGGGTGCGCCATGTGCAACGATACGAGTCGACGGCCACCAACGGCGCGCCGGTGTTGCTGTAAATAGCACACGCCGCCGCCATCACACAAGGACGTGTTGGCATTAGCGTGCTGGCGGCAGATCGGCCACGGGCAGCCAGCCTGAATGCAGCAACGTGACCTCCGACCGACATGGCTGGCTGCTGCAGCCATACAATGCACACATCCACAACTCGATAGACATCGGCCGACCTCCCCCGTCCGGCCCTGCTGATAATCGCCATGCTCGCAACTTGCTTTTGCCATTGCTAGACGACCGACGCAGACATCGAGGCCGGCCATGGCCTCCAACCCTACTTGACCCGAGCCCTGCCGCCAGACCCCTCGACTGCTCCTCACCACCCCTCGTCCATTGTCGGCCCAGGCACGCGCAACGGGGCCTACCATGGTGGGCATGCCCGACCATCTCCACACCTCCGCCCCCTCGACCACGACCAAGACGACCACGACCACGACGACGGGGGCGCCGGCCGCCCAGGGCAGAGCAAAGGGCGTCGCCTTCACTGCCAATGACGCCACCACCCAGCCAGGACGGGCGGCATACCAACAACGGGCCCCCGCGGCCTCTATAAGCTCAGAAGACTCGACCGACGATGATGTCCTGCACACGTTGCTCTCGGCCTCTTCCGTTGTCAACGCCGACGCCCTCTCGTCCTCGGCCCACTCGACGGCCATGACCTCGGCCACCACCTACGACGACCGACCCAGTCCCGAGACGCCACCCACAGCCCTACCCTGTGCTCACCCTACCCTCTCGCTCCTCGAACTCGTCTCCAACACGGCATCGTCTTCTGCCCTGCCCGACAGCTTTGACGTCAACGTCTCGCGCAAGGGCGGATTCGTGGCCGTCTACTCTGCCTCGAATCTGTTTCTGATCAAGACTCTTGAGCTGCCACGCCTGTGGGCCCGGACGCTGCAAGTCAAACGCAAGCCCATTGCCATTGACATTACCGAAGATGGCTTCCTCCTCGCCGTCCTGTCGCGGCCCTCCCAAGTCGACCTCTACGAGATACATGGCGAGGGAACCGACCAGATCAAGAAGAGGCGGACTGTCATGCTGGTACACGAGGCTAGCTCCATTGTCGTCTCCCCAGATGCACGTATACTCATAACGGGGAACAAATTCGGTATCGAGGTCATAGCTATTGGTCCTGAAGTACCCGAAACTCTGCGACGTACGCTCTCGGGACCTGCAGGAGATGCGCTGGAATTCTCAGATGACGGGAGGACTCTGCTCATCACGGGATACGCGAGAAAGTCGGATGGATCTGCCTTGTTTGTTCTGCCTGGCTTGTACGACGGGCCCCTCACCGAGGAGGGGGAGCCAATACCACAACCACCCGAAGCCGCATGGACGGGCTCGGTCCTGTTTCCAGAGACAGCGAGGATAGCGCGGCAGGCTACACTTCTCCCAGACGCAGACACTGGCACATTCAGCGAACTATTTGCCTTTAACGCAGAAGAGGATTCTTGGGGCATCTACGACATCGCCTGCCAGCGCTTCACACAAAGGAAAATGTTTCTTCCCGACCACCAACGTTGGACTCGTTCAGAATTCGTCGACGACGCTATGCCTGCGGTATCACCCAATGCTGACCTCGCAGCTGTCGCTCTACGCATCCAGGGCACGACCAACATATGGATCTACCAAGTCCCTGGCTGGGAATACCAACCAAAGGAAAAATCGAAACAGGAAGCCCCGATCCAGCCCTGCTTTTGTATCCCGATACCGAATGGCGATGCGGCGACGTTGCAAGAGATTTGTGTGCTGAGATGGGTCAGGCTGAACGCCAATGTCCAACGACTTGTGGCTGTTGGAAATTCGAGTACAGTGCCTGACGAGGACCAAGTCCTTGGCGCGCCGTTGGGATCAAAGGGAGTACTTATCGTTCTCGATTTTGACAAGACGAAACCTCTTGGAAGTGTTCTGCCAACACCATCGAAGACAGAATATGACCTCGATCCGCTGTGTCCTGGGGAGATGCTACCGGAGGGATCGATTGACTTTGACCGCGAGGTTGAATTGGTACGGACCAGAACCATTGCCCAACGTAGGGCTCAGGACCGCAACGGGTCGGTATCGCGGAGAAACTCGAGAATTGGATCCACGCCTGTACAACGTGCAAATACTTCTGCGGCGAATCAGCACGCGCCGCGGCCGGTGATAACAACGGACGAGTCTGAAGAATTGACGCCAGAGGAGGCACAGGCCATGTTTGAAATCCCATACGACAATCAACAGCCAAGGTCGCACATGTCACTGGCTAGAGCTGCTACTGTGGCAGCTGTATCTCCTGCCAACCGACGTCATCTACGGTCCTTGCCGTACAGGCCCCTGGAGTACCGTCGCGCAGATGGACACCGAGAGCTACCTCACGAGAGCGACGCGGATAATTGGGTGCCACCACCTCCAGCTTACACTGCTACAGCGGCGGCAGCAGAAAGTGTTAGCTTGAGCCACCCCGACGCGCCTCCAGTGCCACGAGCGCCTAGTGTGCAGTCATCGTCTTCCATGGCTCCTGTCTCTGCATTACCAAATACGTCTGTACGCATTTCACAGGTGCCCATGCATCCGTACCAGCAACGCCAGCAATCCATCTCGAGTAACACATCCTTTGTTCCAGATCAGGAAAGAGGCCGTAGACCGACTCTCATTCATCCGTCTACGTATCCCGCTCCACATCCCTCGGACCCAATGCAAAGTCGACGAAGTTCATCGGTACGCCCATCAGCAAGTCAAATGTCATACTCTGCACACCCGGTGCCTTCAACATTCACATACAGGTCTCCTCCTCTCCACCAAGCTCCCGCAAGAAATCCGGCCTCAGAGCATGCCAACCACGACCTCTACTCGTCTCCTTCGCTATCATCATCCGGTCCAGCAAACACAGGCTCCCGTCGCGTCTCCGCACCACAGATACAACGCCGGCCCGTTCCACAAAACGCTTCTGTTCCTGCTCCCTACCCCAACTTTTCGCCATCAACAAGAGCCACCGTGGACCCAAGAATGGCCGCTCTGCCACCGCTAATCCCACCGACAAGTACTCAGCAGCGGTTCGCGTCCGCCCACCAATTGCCCACCAGCGCGCCCCCGCTTGCCAACCATGCAGCCAGTTTTTCACACGGAGCCGCAGCAGCGCAGACTCGGGGACAGTCGCTTGGTGCACGGGGTGGCGGTGGCTCGAGAATGGGCACTCGTCAAAATGCAGATTCAGAAGGAAGAGATGACGGAAAGAAGGCCAAGAGGAAGACGCATTGTGTCATTATGTGATGATCGGTGAAAAGGTGGACACAAGGGCATGTATATATATCGAGGTTGCAAAGCGAAGGTGGCATACACAAGTATCATGACTGATGGATAGAATAGGGTGTTTTTTTGTTTTTGGTTGTTTTACGTATATACCCATATCTTGAGCTCTGTTTGCGTTTTTTTGTTTTTTTTTTCACTCGCGTTGCTTTATTGTTAGATGGGGGGGGGGTGCATTGACTAGTGTGGAAGAGGAGAGAAGATGTGTTACGGCGCATGACTAAAGTACTCCTGGGTGGTAGTACTTACTCGACGACAAAATGGAGAGAAAGAGAAGTTATACGTTAGATACCCTTCGTTTGCACTTTTGTGGGAAAATAGAATACATGGGATTTTCTGGGGGAGGAGATCGACGATGCTTGTTTTCTTGTTTTTTTTTTCTGGGCAACGTGCATGCGGGGGGAGGGGGACAGACGATGAAACGACTTGAGTAGTCTTTTTTTCTTCTTCTTCTTCCATTTCTATTCTAGGCTGACTTGCACTGCAGGAGAGGAAGAGAGAAAGAGAAAAAAAAAGCAAAAGAATGGGGGGTTGTCACGGTTGCATTAAAGAGCGTTATGGAGCTCGAGCACAAAAGAAAAGAAACAAGGCTTAACTGCACATCTAAGGACGACTGCACGAATTCACACTGAGAGGAAGACAGTTTGTTCAATCAGCCAGAAAGCTAATATATATTTTCTATCGATATCCACAACAGCGCGTGATGTTTCAGATCAACAAACGCAGAAGCGACACGACCATCGTACACCACCAGAAGGAAGAAAATCAAACAAAAAAAACACAAGTGGTATAAGCGATCATTCCATTAACCAAAGGATCTTTTTCCCCTTTTCTGCTAGTCTGCCCACAAAAACACATGACAGGCTGGGTTTAGACTAGCCGGAAAAAACCTCATCTTTCGCAACGTCGAGGTAACAATTGAAGGAAGGAAAAAAACAAAGCGAAAGATGCTTAGAGCACGAAGGCAACGACGGCGGCAGCAGCACCGACGAAGCCAAGGCCAGCAGAGAGACCAGCAGCGGCGTTGGTGGTTTGCTCGGGAAGAGGAGGAGAGGTGCTGTTAGCGCCAGTGGGCTTGGGGACAGTGCCGTTGGGGTAGAGGCCGCCGGTGGCAATGGGAGCAGGGGCAGAGGCCATAGTGGTGGGGTAGGGAGCAACGGATGCGACCGAGGAAGGCGCAACGGGAGTGTGGGCAGGGTAGCCGGCAGCAGAAGGAGTCGAGGCAGGGTAGCCGGCGGCGGGCGTAGATGAGGGCGCAACCGAGGGAGCGGCAGACGAAGAGACGGCACCGCAGTCGCCGGCCGAGATGCCGAACTGGGTGCTGTACTGGTACTGGCCCGTCACATCGTCGATGATCTGGAGTCCGTAGCCCTGGTTGGCCTCGGTGACGGGCAGGTCAGCGGCGGGAGTCCAGGTCAGGCTGCCGCTGTTCTTGATGCCCTCGGCGAGAGAAGGTCCGAACTTGACGACGTTGGTCGCGGGGCCCTTGAGGAGGAGCACAGAGACCGTGTTGGGGGTGGTGGGCTCCCAGGTGATGGTGAAGGGCTCACACTTGGGGACAATCTAAAAAGGGGGGCGTTAGCTGGATGTTTTTCTTGCTCGTTCGGTTGTTTGTTTTGGGTATGTGGGTTGTGGGTGTGTGGAAAGAAACGTACCTCGTTCAAAGGACGGGTGATGGGGTTACCCTTTGGGTCACCGACGGCAGGGTGGATCTGGGCGGCGGCGAAGCCAGCGAAGATGGAGATGATGGTAGCCTTGGAGTACATGGTGTTTGTTTGGAGTTTTCTTGGTTGTGTGGGTAATTAGATTATCGCTAGGATATCGATGAGAAAATTATGTAGCTTTACAAAAGCAAAGATTGGTAATGAGTGACGACTGTGGGAGGGTTTCTTAAAGAAAGGCTGAAGCAACGAATGTCTTCTGAAGGCTGCAGTAATATACTGTAGGATGGGAGGGAAAGAGAAGAAACGCGACTGAGGCGGCACGGCATGCGCATTCTTATTGAGAGCGGCCCCCAAACGGTCCTATACAGGGATAGAGGCATTTGACTAGTGCTGACAGGAGATTGGACAGAACTTTGTGCAAACCGGCACTACTCTTGCTTGGTTCCTGGATTTGGCCCGCTAGGCCTGAAGGGCATCTCATCTGAGCGTCTGGAGCCAATGGTGGCGCACAGGGAAATTGCAGCCAGGCCATGTTGGAGACAGCCAGGAGGGTTGGTGGCGGAACCGGTCAAGTGCCTGGCCCTGCTGGCACGGCCTATTTCTGGAGATTGAAGCCTGAAAGTGGTGCGTCGGAAGGGCGCCTGAAGGGAAAACAAAGGAGCTCCGCGCCGCCATGCCCGTTGGACTGGTCTGCCTACCGGCGGGAGATGAGCGCACGCGCGCGAAGCATCTGACGACGCCGACCAGGATACCATGGCTCAATTGACTCGACACTATCGACATCGTATTTGCCCTGGGGTCTCAATTCGACATGTGTGTGTATATCCTGTGAACGTTCATACATAGGTGCGATATGTGCGCGCGCTCCCCCTTGTGCGCGACCACTCACCGCCCGCAATTCGACAGGCCGACTAGCCTCAGGAACAGTCATGCAGACTACCGCCAGCACTACCCCTAGCCCCTCTCTTAGGCCGCCCTCTAAAAAAAGGAGAGCATTGCGCTTGGCACCCTCCGTCGTCGTGCATCATCCTCATCTCTGACAAGCGAGCTGCACTCGTCATAACCACCCATTGCATCCTCCGCCGACGACCAGGCCTTGCGCTGGTGTCTGGCCACAGTAAGCCCGCAAATTACCGCCCCGACAACCCCTCCAATCGCCGTCGCCGTCAAAACCAACCATGCTGCGACTCCACACTGCGACACGGACATTGGCTCTTGTTTCAGTATACTTGTTGGGATTCAATTCATCTCTAAAATTCCACTAACTAGGCTGCTAAATTCATGTCATATATACAATGCGCCGACTGCACCTCTCTTGGGCTCATCTTCACAACCAGGGGGGGGGCCAACACCCTAGAAACAACTTGCTCGTACCCAGCTCCTGAAACCGTGACATTCGTGTGCCAGGTAAACTCTGTACTTAAAGCTTGCAAGGTGGGGCCCCGGGTGGAAAACGAGCGAACGCGTCGGGGTATCTTCGAGGCGGAATGGGATTCGTAACATCGTCATCTCGTCATCTCTCGTCAGTGCGCTTCTCGCACATCTCTCTTGCCCGTCGAGCAAGCTTCGTGTGCAGATCATCGTGCAACAACAGCAGAGAATAGCAAACTATCTGCGCACTACGACCGCAATGTCAAACTGCTTAGTTGCACTGGCCAGGGACTGGTGGCTGTCAGCTTCAGGCTCATACAATGTCAAAACAAAGGCAAACAAGGGGTCGCGTTACTCACACTTTCGCGAGGTCAGTGGCTGTGGGAAGACGCCGTTGGCCAGCAAAGCCTTCATGTCCCACTCTGGCGAGCTCTCCGTCTTCCACGTCCAGAAAATCCATCCGCTGGCCATCTCGAACCCATCAAGCTGGGCCTCAATGTAGCGCCGCATGCCCGTCTTGTAGTCTTCCGAAAGGTTGCCAACAGTGCCGGTATACTTGCCGTCGCAGCTGCCCACCTTGGAGCTTCCGTCAAGAGTGCCGTCGTAACGTGCGCCCTTGTCCTTGCCGTTCAACCACTTGGTGCAGTCGGTCATGGCGCCAGTCCACTCTCCGGCAATAGTCCATTTGCCCGTCGATGCCATTTGCCTACCAAAGCCGCAAGCAGTCTTGACATGGTCGTCGACGCTCATGGCAACGGCCGAGTTGTCAAAGATTTCGTAGTGATGGGTGTCGAGAAGCAAGTTCCACATGCCGCTACCCCACTCGTTCCACGAAGTCACGCCTTGGAAGGCATCGTGGAACGTCACAGCAACACCAGAGTCTCGTAGGTTACCCCAGCCATCCATGTAGAATTGTCGGACAGTGTTCATGTCCAGGGCCGGGCCCAGAGGCTCGTTTAGGAGCTGGATAGCGGCAACAGCAGGGTGTGATGCATGGTCGTCGCGGAGCTTGTTCAGCACTTTCTTGGTGTAGTCGACTGAGTCGCCTTGAGTCCAGCCAACCGAGCCGCGCTTGCCCGAGTTATCGAAGCCGTTCTGCGACTCGGGTGCGCCATGGAGATCGATCATGACCTTAAGACCTGCGGCTCCCGCCCAGTCAAGGGCTTCGCCAAGCTTGTCGTAGGCTCCAGCAATATATGGCATGTCGTCACGTGGAAGTACGCTCCACCAGCCAATGGGAATTCGGACCATGTTGAGACCGGCGGCAGCCATCTGCTTGAAGTCGTCCTGGGTGTACCATGTGTTCCAGTGGTTTTGCAGCATGGATTCTGCTGCGTCCCTGCCCATTGCTCCAGCAAGTGTGTATTCATCAACTGCGCCGTTGCCTTCGAAGATGCTGGGAGTGATCCAAGGCTCAAGCACAAACCAGCCACCAGTGTTGACTCCACGGACTTTTTGTCCACCAAAGTCGAATGATGGTGTTCGGTAACCTTCCGATTGTCGTTTCACAGATTCCAGTGGAGATGCGTTTGTGCTCACAGCGAGCAGACCAATGGCCGCTGTAGTAGTCCAACGTCCGACCATGATGAGATAGATTGCGTTACTCAACCGATTGAAGGCTCAAAGAGATGGCACTTGTAACAGATGAGGATAGAAGAAGGTTGTTTGCTTGGTGTGCCTGAGATTCAAGTTGAACAAAGCCTCCAGACCGGGGAATCAAGTTGGCTTTAAACTACGACCTCAAGACACGGGGGTAGGCCAACACAGCACTCAATTTGCCCCAATTTTCTTTCCAGTCACGCTCACGTAGCAGCCATGTGTTTGGTTCTGCTCCAAGACGTCGTGGTGATCCTCACTTCGTGGAGAACTATCCTAGCTAGCGGGAATAGCCATCCTAGACGCCTTCAGAGCGGTGTCGACCGAGGCGTCCGGGAAGTGACTAACCGTAGTCTGACCAGCGAATGGAAACTTTGCCATGCCGGAACAATGTGTACATCGCTACTCGTTCGGAGGTAGAAGCTCGGTTGGCAACTGACGTGATGACGCAAGGGCTTGGAAGAAGAAGCGTGAGAAAGCCACGCCCGACTGTCGGACTAGCCAATGCAGGAAGCTGTCGTGGATTCAAGCTGCGCAAAAATCGGGTCCCCTAAGCCTCGGCCATGATTAACAAGAAGCGTAAGATCTGGGGTCATGTGCAATCAGGAGGTAAGGCGACAGAGCCACACTTGGCAGAGGTTGTAGGTGGACCTCAGGTACATGGTGCTGATTGGCTGCGGGTGTAATGGTGATGATGTGGGGATCGGCGAGTTGCAGCCACTTAGATGCCGACGTGGTGCTCACGGGTTACAGTCAAGCTGCCGAGAAGCTTCCAAGAAGGCGCAAAGAGCTTTGGCGCAATGCTGAAGCCGAGTGGCGGATTGCCTGGCCTAGTGTACATAGTAGTGGTAGTCGTGGTAAGTAGTACATGGTAGTAAACCGGCACTACAGCAGTTGTACATACTGTACGTAGTCGCGTGAGACTCTGGTACCGTACTTTGAACTCGGAATTTGTACCGACGACATGTCACCGACCCTGTTCACCCTCAGGACTGCTGCAAGGTCGTGCACCGCTCCCTGCATGCTACAGTCAGCGTTCCGGGGAATAGAACAAAGCATGGCCTTCTCCTTGCCCTCATGATCTGCAAAGCACGGGAGCCCAAACAGTAAATACCCTTTCTACCGAGCCAAAGATCTGCGAGGCCTCCAGTCCCTACAGTGAGAGGGAGCATTAAGTCAGCATAGTAGCATTGTCTGATTCAGGACGCCCCGTCAGGACTGATCGTTTCCGCATTGGGGGTGTAAACTGCGTTTGTGGTGTTTGCCTCTGAGCCGCCTAGGATCTCGGATAAAGAAGTGCATAGTAGTAGTTGGTTGCACCAGGGCAGCCACAATGAGGAGCGTTTCCGCGACGTCACCATGGCCTTACCATTTGCCTCGTTAATCCTGAATTGCCGACCCCTTCTTCCTGCATGTCACGAGAGCCGATTTTCAAACACCGGACGTACATGTACATGCAGCTTGCCTACCGTCATCTCTCGCATGTTCTGGTTCGGCGGGAATGAACGTGCAACGGCGCGAGATCTCCAAAGCTTGGTACAGATATGCGGGGAGATGCACGACAACGTTCTAGCGCTGCCGTCCGTCAGGGTTAGATCAAGCAGCGCGTCATCCCCGTGAGCCTGTGACCGCGAAAGTCTTTTCACGCCTGCTTAGCGGTCGCGCACCCTTTCACGCAGTGTCATGCTAGGCCGAGGTTTCTCGTGCTTGGCGTACCCGACCGTGATGTGCCTACCGCTATCCCTACCACTATACCTCTCCCTTGGCTACGACTAAGAGTAGATTTCTGGCGTCATTGATCACGTTGTCTTGTACACCGACAATAGAGATGCGCAAGTGAAAGGCGTTGCTGCACTGGGGCAAGGCACAGTCCTGATACCCGGTTGAGTTTGTGGGTTTGTGGGGTAGTGCGAGAACGTGGTGTGCTGGAATCTGGTTGACGGCCTCCGACATGTCGGTGAGCATCTTGGTGAAGCAGTAGTGACGGTATCTTGACAAAGACTCGGTAGCATGACTCTGGTGGTGAGCTGTTTTCACATCGGCTATGCCGTTCCGACGTACAGTACACGTGATGTGCGTCGGTGCTAGAGCAGACTCGCCACGCTCGTAAGACGGGCAACCATTCAACTGACTCATTTCTTTGCTGCGTATTTTCCCTTGATTCTTTGCATGTTGCCGCCATGGAGGTGGTTTGGTAGAGTAGGTAGGATGCCGTGTTGTACAGTAGGCGTATGCGGCAATGCCGACTTGTCCGGATGGGAGAGGTTTACCCAGAGCACGACCGATCGGAACGAACGGCTGAAACATTTCCGATCCAAGTTACACAACGCAGGAGTGGTTACTAAAGTACCCACGTCCGCCGCAGCGACGATGCGCCTGCCACTGAAAAATACACAGTTGGAACAAGGCCAGATCCGCCGATGGTGCATTCTCTCTGTGTATGCACTCAAATGCAATGCAGGTTTCGCCAGCCCACGATGCAGCTTGAGGAACAAAGTGTGTGAGGGCATAAGGGCGGACGAAATGGCGGGTGTAGGGCCAGGGCAGGTTGAGCGGCGCGCTGAGGTAAGGACGCTGTGCGTTTCTCAGCAAACTTAGGAGGGTGGCGATACCATACCGCTATTGTTACAATACACCGTCACGGTAACGTACAGTACAGTACAAACATCCCTTCGCGACAGCCGATTTGAGGTGAGCTCCACTCGTCCCGCATACAGACATACTTTCGCTTGTGTCAACCTGTCCCATTGCCTTGTTCGTCCGCATGCGACTCGTCATTTACTGCCCGCCTGTCCGTCGCAAAAGAAACAAACTCGCCGCCATCAGCTAACCTCCACAATGACAGGCCGTCATGGGCAGACATGCCAACCCCGACATCCGGCGCGCTTTTGCTGAATTCCAGGACCAGGAAACGCCCTCTAAATGTAACAAGGTCCGCTGCCGCCATTGCGGCTACGTTCGCGCAAAAAACACGACGCGCCAGATCGAACATCTGCAGGAATGCCAGGCATACCTAGCTTCGTCGGACGCGCAAGCCCACCTTCTCGCCCAGCAGCAACAGCAGCAGCAGCAGGATGGAACTCCAGCTGAGCCAAACATGGCCGCTGGCTCCAGTCAAATATTCAGCGGACAACAGCCCAATCCAAACCTACAGGTCCAACGGCGGGGTCCCAATACCAGCAAGCGCGCCCGCGATACCCAGCCCATTATTGCGCCGAAAACTGTTCCTGTGCCAACAGTCATGCCCTCTCTGACCGCGCATCTACTCAATGTCTGCGCTGGCCCTGTCCGAAAGGCAACCCAACTACCCTTCTTGTCGCATGCTGGCTGCGGATCCCTAACCGCGGAGCCTCTGTCATGGTGGCTGGTGCAAGACGGGCACTATGCGCGTGGATTCATACGCTTCGCAGGACAGTTACTGGCCAAAATTAGGTTGCCGCAGATACCCAACTCGCAGTTCCACCCCATGTATCGTACCATGGACCTCTTGATCTCGGCTTTGAACAATATGCGACGGGAGATTCAGTTTTCTGAGATCACTGCAACAAAGTACGGGCTGACTCTGGGCACCGAACTGCCTGCTCCCGTTACTCGTGGATTACTGGATCTCTTGGTTAGTGCCAGTAGCTCGAGCGCATCCCTCTTAGAGGGAATGGTTGTGCTTTGGGGAACTGAGCATGTATGTAACGATATACAGCGATCAAGGCGTACAGAACTGACAATCCACAGACCTATCGTGCCTCTTGGCAATATGCATCGACCTTTTCCAGCTCGCTACCCACGTCCATCAGTGATTCGCACATTGCCGCACTCCACCAAGTCCTCATACCGAATTGGACCTCGCCCCCCGCATACAAGTTCCTCGACGCAACACGCGCACTCGTCGACGAGCTAGCCAACAGCACAACCACACGAGACGGCAAGGAAGAAATGGTCCGCTGCGAAGAGATCTTCCGGCAGATATGCTGGTTAGCAGAGCGCTACTGGCCCGCCATTGATGAGAACGGCGGCTGGGTTGACCCTCCGATGGGTTACGCCATTCCCAGCACGCGTCCCGTCACCATGAACAGAAACGTCATACACCCGAACATGACCGGACCCGGCCTGCACGGCCCGGGCATGAACATGCATGGGAATCCTGTTAACGGAAATATGGCAGGCCCTGCGCCAACCCCGAACATGCATGGTCACGTGAATACCAACATGAACAATAACGCGAATGCCAATCCGAATATTAATACCAGCACCAATATGAATAACAATGCAAACACCAGTAATACCAACAGGAATAACTCTGCACCCAGTGCTCCGATCAACGCTGGTGTCCGCAAGGAAAGCACATCTGTTAATGATAACAGGAGCCAACAGAGCATGGACCGGGCAAACAGCATGGATAGCGACAGTGGAGAGTCGTCAGCTTGATGAACAAGAACTTCTTTGGGGAAAACCACTTGATGATTTTATCCTATCCACAACAGTATTGGCTATTAGTTTTCCACAGAAGCAAAGGAGGGGTATGCCCCTGGCTGTATGGCATGATCTGTTGCGACACGATGCTGGGTGTGCAAAGGTGTGATGACTGAGTCGTTTTGGTATGAATCTGCAAGAGAGAGAGAGAGAATGGGTGGGGATCTGTTTACGTGTTTGCTCTGCCGTATGATTTTGTGGATTTAGCTTGTGATATCCCGTTTATATAGCAAAATTTATCCGTGTGTACATATGTTTACATCATACTCTTGACGTATGCAGAGAAGACAAAGGGAGATTCGTTGATCAATAATGCCGTTATGGGATAATAGACACGTTTGCTGGTCCACATATTGTGCACTGAAAGCAAAATAATGAGAGAGTTAACAACGTCTACATCGTTCTAGTCAAAATGCACGATCCAGTCCAATGCCAAGCGGGTAATGTTCACATTTTCATAGAGAGCTGATTTGGGCATTCATTCACATTACTTCAGTAGCGGTATAGCTACATGAAACTACATTACGGTTTGCCTTCCACATCGAGGATGGAAACCTCAAATATGCGGTTAAAACTTGTACTACTCTCACAGGTGTAGAGAAAACAAGTTTAGGCTGTTGGAACAGCGTCGGTGTTGTAGCTCTTCTCGATGATTGGCGGAGGTTCAGGAATCTTCTGGCGAAGAAGAGTGTGCTTGATGAAGTAGGGCACCTGTTCCGAGATCTGGTAGTGAAGATATGTTTTGGTGGGTACGCTGAAGACCTGGTCCAGCTCTTCAAGGGTAAGTTGCTTGGTCTCGCGGACAAAGCAAAAGATCATGCCCCAGGCTATCAGATTGAGACCGGCGTAAAATCCAAAGGCACCCGTCTGTGTCATGACTGACACCATGCGGGGGAAGGTGAGGGACAAGACACCGGCGAAGGTGTTGTTGATGCATACAGCCCAGGCCATTCCCTGCTCACGCTGGATCGTGGGGAAAACTTCTGCAGAGTACTGGAATGCGACAGGTCCTTCTCCAAGAGAATACATGATAGTGAAGAGATAGACAAACAGGACGACAGGTCCGACTTTTGCAGCTTTGCTGGCACTATCGGGCTGGAGCAGAGATAGGCCGGCTGCTAGCAAGAATATGCACATAAATGGGAAAGTCTGTGAAATTCCGTCAGTAACAAAAAAACCATGGGGACTCTTCTGCAACTTACCCACATGCAAAGGGTCCTACGGCCCTTTGTGTCAATGAGAAACAAAGTCGGAATGGTAAAGACGACCTGGACAGCGCCGTAGCCGAGAGACGCATACAAGGATTGATCGGTGCTGTAACCAGCTTGACTGAAGATTGTTGAGCTGTAAAAAGAAATGATGTTTATACCGCACATTTGCTGCGCAATCATAACCGTAGAAGCACCGTAGTTGGCACGCCTGATTCTGGGCACACGGAAGCAGTCCCACATGCGGTCAAAGTAGCCAGCTCCACGTGCAATAGCTAGTTCGGTCTCGTAGATAACGTATGAGTAGTAGTAATCACGGGCGGCGATGATGGGATGCGCTCGCAGTTTGTTCATCGACTCGAATCCTTTGGCAACCTTGCCGTGCTTCATCAGCCAACGAGGAGATCTGAAGATATGTCAGCATTTTCCTATAAAAAGCCAAGAAACAGCGAATACTTACTCTGGGCAAAAGTAGATGCCCACCATCAAAATAAAAGAAGGAATGAAGGCCGAACCAAGTTGCAGGCGCCATGAAATTCTGCCAGTGTCTTTGACAATGACGTTGGCACAGAAACCGAGGAAGATACCTATATAAAATGATTAGATACGATTAGATTTGGCAAAAATAAGTAATATTCCTTACCAATGACGACCCAAAGTTGCCAGAACATGACCAAGGCGCCTCGAATTCGGTGTGGAGCCATCTCAGCGGAGTAGATGGGAACAGTGGCATTCTTTGCACCGATACCGATACCCATGATGAAGCGAGCAGCGAGAAGTCCCTCCCATGATTGTGCGCAAGCAGAGCCAATGGGAGTGGCGGTAAGACAGACGGCGGTCACAAAGATCTCACCCCTGCGGCCCAGGTACTTGTTGAGCGGGTCGACGATGAAAGCGCCAATGAGGCCAGCAGTGAGGAAGATGATGGCATTGATAAGACCAACAATCCACTCGCCATAAGCACCACGCTCAATGAGGCCAAACTCCTCTGGGAAAGACAAGTTGGCACCGTTTGATCCAGTCTGATCCCAACCTTGAGTGGCGGCTCCAATAGCACACAAACCGATCGAGTACCACAACATCTTGGGGCCGTGCCACTTGTGGTCTCGCTCGTAGATGAGAGCATTTCGCTCGCTGTCGTCGAGTTGGGAGATCATTTCAAAGCGCTCAGGGTCGCGGGCAACAAGGGCTGCTTTGCCAAACAAGGCGGCGTGTTCGTCCAGGCCATGTTTCTTGGCCCACTCTTCAGCAGCGTAGGCGCACTCCTCCCTACTCTGGCGCGTCAATGGGTTCTCGACGAGATTGTGAGCAACAGACGAGCGACGAGCGTTGGTGTCAGCAATGTGCTCTGTGCCAGAAGTGTAGATGGCCTCCTTCTCAGGATCAGTGGCTATCTCCTTCTCCGGAATGGAGGAGGCTTCCTTCTCGACGTGAGCGGCAGGCTCGTTGTTCTTTCCGTCCATGGTGGTGGAGTTGTGCAGGATGCCGGATGAGGAGGAACCAGCTACACGAATATGTGCAGGGAAAGAAGTTGAAAAGAAAAAAGGTGGGGTGAGTCGAGGGAGCCGATCTTATATCTGAAGGAGGCAAGAAAGAGTGAGAGGGAGGCCCCAAAGTGGAGCCTCCAACGGTACACGGCACATGTAACAGGCTCAAAAAAAATGAAAGCTGAGGTGCGCTAAGAGCATTCACTGCAACTTGCACATGGTGAAGGGCCAGCACCCCGGAAATCTGATGGGAGCCTGACCAACGGGATGCCATGACGGGGTGAATGAGGGGTGGTAGTGGCGCTAGGTCTAATGTTCATGGGGATCTCCACAGAAAGACCCCATGGAGTAAGCTTCGGCAGGCTAATGGCCGCCACACGCTTGTCTACAGCGCCTTGGCGCCCACCACACGCGCATCCATCATCGCCTCTCCCGATGTCCATGACCTTACCCTCTACCACCTGCCAGCCTCCCTCCACACCTGCGGTACACCACAATGCGACCTCGTTGTGACTTGCGATAAGCTTACACATGTCCATACAGGACTTGGGCATCTCGACTGGTGCGTTACGTGCACCACCCGCGATGCCAGTGTGCGGTACTGCACTCGCTCCACGCCCAAGAATCAAGGTACCCTCGCGGCGAGCTTGGTGCCGTATTGGCTGAGGCTTGTCGGGAGCGGGAGTGGGCTTGTTGGAACGACATGCTTAGCGGCACGATCACCACATCACTTGCCTCACCCGTCACCCGCTAGTTTCTCGGCACATGCTTCAGCCACCGCTGAGGAGTGAGCAGGGCAGGGTACATGCTACCACTCCGATCCTACGCCTCCATGTATGTACTTGACTGTACTTGGGCATCCCAACGAGCACTTTAGCCGCCATTTGCGTCTCTGAAACATCAGCTCACGATCGTACTCTATCGCGCGATACCCGCCATCCGCCAGCCGCCACCTCTCTATCGGAGACGACGCGCTTATGGAGGGGAGACCTTGCCAAAGATGCACATGGCCATACGAGCGCAAAAGAGGCGTCGCTTACCGCCACTACCAGACGAGCTAGCTAGAGAGATGGCCTACGCGCGGCGACGGCTTGGGCACCTTGATTCCTCTTGACCCAACAATCAAGACGACGGCAAAAGCTTGAGGCCGTCTGCCTTTCCGGACCAATAGCCATGGGATATGTTGCTTTGCACGGACCCACACGCACGTTTGCTGTGGGGATGCCTCCAAACTCTTCTCCAGCTATTTTCCCAGCATCGGCGACTGGGCTCGACTCGAGCGATGTGGAGAAAAAAAAAACATTTGCTCACGTGCTTGGCAATGCAACCCAGTGGTGTTTCGCAATCGGAGAACGTACGATGAAAAAACAGGTTACAATACGGCCGTTTAATAATCCAACGGCTGCGGTACTCATGCATGTCAGGACGGCCGCACATGCTGATCCAAGTAATGCAGCCCCGTCTCGCATGAAATCACCGCACAATCTTTGGCATCTCACGTGCGAACATTCCATTACGTAGAACTATGCTACCTCGTCACACCAGAATATGCTATTCACCGGGCATGCTGGAAGCGCCTGCCGGACTCTGCCTAACCGCGCGCTAGTACGCATTTTTGAATTTACGAGATTCCTTGCTCGAGTGGATCTCGAGGTTGCGTACTGGCCAGTGCTAGCTACCCCGATACTTACCCCACAGCTCCGCGGTCCCAACGGCGGCCTCCGGATTACCCAATTGGGACGTTATCTCACAGCTATCTTGACTCCTTGCAGATAGCCGCAAATAAGCCTGACTCCCAAGATTCTTGCCTCTCGATAGCTTTTCTTAGTAGTTTCTGTGGATAGTTCCTCTTGATGGTCTCGATCCATAGCTCCCCTCATACTAGCGCGTCGAGACCTTCAGTCGACTTTATCGACCTTCCTCGGAGGAAAGTCTACACGGAACCCACGGCACTTAGCATGTAACCCACATGGTCAATCGGCTTATGATATCGGTAGTCGCTATAAAAGCATTCCAAAAATCACATTCTAGACTCTTTACCTCTACAAAGAGCCGCATCTGCAGGTGCAGTAGTCAGTAACTGCAGAGCGATCTAGAGTCCTTACAGCTCAATACCGTCTAGTAAATGGCGCTAGGAAATGACTATTTATGTGTACACGGTCCATCCTATGATACCATGATACTCCAATCTGAGGAGACGGAAACGAGAAAAAAAGAGATACTTTCTATTCTTATTCAAGCTCGTCGACATGACAACCCTGGACTGGCTTCCTCATGACACACAACTACATGGTACAGGAAATTTTTCTCAATGGCCAGGTAAGACGATGTGCGGCTAACCTGGAGACCACGATTCGCGTCTATCTGCCTCAAGAACTCTTTATTATACCGATATTCCCGTATGATCTGCCTTGTCCAAGTACTGTCGTAGGAACCAAAAAAATCACGATACTCTTTTTTGCTCCATTACTAAAAAGGGAAAATTCCGATCTTTCCATCTTTGCACAAGAAAAGGTGCTCAAAAAAAGCCTAGTACCATCGCACGTATCATTAATTTCACGTCGGAGTGCCCGACAAACAAACCCTAGTACAACCCCGGTACAGCCCCTAAACACCCTTACGCAAGTACATCCAGGTACCCTTCTCAATGAACTCGGTTCCGCCAGCCAGGACGCGCAAGCGCGCGGGGTTACACAGCGACCCCAACGGGGCAGCCCTGCATCTACCACCCCTCCCCCCACAATTACTCCCCTTCCCTCGACTCCACTTGCCCGCTCGACATGGCCATCAGCTCCTCGCGTACCTGCTCCAGTCGCGGCATTATCATCTTGACCACCATGATACTATTCATCCTCTTGCGCACGCCCTCGAGGTGAAGCTGGAAAAGCGGTTTAGCGCCCTGCTCAAATTCGTGGGCTGTGACTTTGTTGAGCCAGAGGGCTTCCATCAGGTAGACGTATTCGTTCCAGTCGTCTGGGCCTGTCGAGAGAAAATAATATGCGTTAGCTTGTGGTTGTGGTAGGTAAGACGATAGAGGTGGTTGTTGCTTACCAAGAGCTCGGCGTATGCCTTCTAATTCTACAGGCACGTCGTAGTCGTACATTGGACGTCGCCTGAGAGTGCGGTTCGGAAGCAGTGATGACGGTACGTAGGTTGATCGAGCTATTTTTGTCCCTTGGAGGAAGCTCTTTGTTACGTTCCTTTCTTCATGATGCATCCTGCCTGGTGCAGTAGTCTTAGAGGGGTCATTTCCACTCTCATTGCCCTTTCTCTTTTTTCTCGGGGCCTCCTCTCCTCTCTGATCGTTCATGCTCTCTTGAACCTTGTCTTTTTTCGTCTCCTTTCCACCCCTGCCCGCCTTAATCAACACTACCGGACTCTGTCTCGTAGTGCCCTGGCATTTTTCAGTTGGGACTCGGGAACGCTTTTGTGATGGTGCTGTAGTATCGGGAGAATTTTCTGTTTGGCTACTCGGTTGCGTTTGTCTGGGCTTCAAAATCTTCCGACTTGTGTCTTGTGATGGCGATTTCGACAAGCCTGAATTGCCTCGAAGTGGTGCTTTCCTCGGAACACTGCTTGACGGGAGACGACTGAACTTGACGTCTGAGGCTTTTGACGGAACCGGCGCGACCTGCATCGTCTTCCCGGCTGGCGGATGGATGTTTACATTCTGCGGTGGAGCAGGTTGGTTACCACCCGGTGTTTTGATTGCATAGGAACTCCCGTTGCTTTCTGTCATACAAGGGCTGAGTTCAGGCTTATTGTGAGCCATGGTAGGTGAGGGTAAAGGCTCTATACGGTGAGGCGGTGCGCTGCCGTACGGAGCCGGAAATGAGTGCGCGCTACCAGAAGGGCAAGAGTGAAGAAGTGTTTTCCTAGAGATTGGGCTGTTCTCTTGAAGTGTTGTTTCTGGAAAGCGAGTCTGTGTGTCGCCTACGTTTGCCCCAGATGTGTCTGCAACGTGCGGTACCATGTTTGGCATGAAGCCAAGGAAGGTGGAATTCTGTGAAATCGTTGGTGTAACGAATGAGCTGTCTTGCTTCTGAGATACCGATAGTCCTTAAAAAGACGTCATTTGCGATAGGTAAGGACGATAGAGGAGTGAAGCCGCAGTGACGACAGAAGCAATACTGTCCAGTATCAGTGACACGACACTGGGTGCATGAGATTGTAGTCAACGGCAACAATACTCCGACTAGTCGAGGTGCCTAGGATCTACGTACAATAGCGTACAGCTGATTTCCAAAGGCAGGTGGGGAGGTTGGAGTGTGGGGTGCTGATAGTTTGGATGGGCAAAACTGAGGAAGGTGCCTTTCACACTCACCATTACCTGTCGTCTCATTGGCTACCCAAATCTCAGATAGCCACAGCCGTCAAAGTCTTGGATTCACCTGGAAATCTTGCAGAGAAGACAACAAAAAGTTGGTGCACCCCACATCTGCAGAGCTGACCCTGACCCTTCTGTAAAGGGACTGCACAGCCAATTAGTGTTGGGAACTGAGTTTATCGCCTTGCATGACACCCAGCACTTGACCAAGTCTCACAACGCTAATGATTGATATCACGCAGACTCACTGCATCTAGAAAGGTGATTTTGCAGATCTAGATGTTTTCCGGCACCAACTAGGGATGCCCTTGCAAAGAACTACCGCTTTTGACGCCATCGCTTAAGAGAACAAAGAGCGAAGCAATATGACTTGCATCCCATGACTTCTAGAAATCTCACCCGTAGCAATACACATGCTTTACACTACTAGAAACCTAGCATGTACTTTAATACAGAGGTATATTATCGCGCAAATGAGCAATGGTGTTGAATGTGTAGAAGAAAAAGCTTTGTTGCATATAATATGGCAGTATCTCCGGTAACCCAGCGCTGCCAAATTCACATGTATATGCAACCAAAATAAAGCAAAACCAAAAAAAAAAAAACTAGCAAGTCATCAATACCCCAAGGCTACTGATCCGGAATTTCAACCAGAACAAGAGCAAAACATGGCTTATTGCATGTCTGGTAAATCCGGTGAGCTGAGGCCTCCATCACCAAAGCTCTGGGCACGATATCTCGCAACATCCTGCAAATGCTCGTTACTCTCCGACAGCGCAAGATGGATAGACGGTTGTCTGTGTGTATGACCGCCCACCCCAGGGGCACAAGGACTACGCTGAGCCTCCGGACTCGCAGCCGTCGAATACCTACGCGACCCACCTACATCCTGCTGTGCAGGTAGCTGTACTATCTTTTGATTCGCAATCATCAGGTCAGCAGCAGCACCCGCCTCGCGCGTCTGCCTCGCAGCAAATATCTGCTGATACCGTGCCAGCGAAGTGGCTATTAACTTCTCTCGCGTCTCTGGCGATGGATGCGTGAACCCCGATCCCAAGTACGGTTTGACTTCTGTCCAGGTCCTCTTTTCGTCCGCCGAAGCCCGCAGCCACTTGTCGTCGAAGTATTGGAATGAGCGCAGACATGTGATGGGTAGCGCTACGTACTTTTCGATATTCAATCGCGCCATAACTTCTGCTGCAATGACTTTGGAGTGGTTGAGCAGACACGCGACGAAGTGGATGCGTTGGGGGAATGTGAAGTCTACGTCTTCGATGTTGAGCGATGTGAAGTCGATGGAGCGCCTGTGGGCGAAGTCGGTCACGCCCGAGATGTGTATGCGCATTGCCGTGTACATAACGACGTGGGCTATGGCTTCGATATCGCGGGGGTCTGTCCATTCCCCTTTTGGCATGAATTTGCTGAATTGCCAAGGTGCACTTTGTATGTCCCAGACTTTGGAGATGTTGCGGAGTGCGATACAGATCTTTTCGAGGTAGAATTTGTATTGGTCGCTTGTTTGTGGGAAGCCGTAGCAGCCCATGGATGTGAACCAGGATACTTCGTTCAGGTATGCGCTCACTTGCCCGAAGTTTTGGAATTGGTAGCCCCAGAATGGGACAGACGACTGGGAGAGCAGTGGCGCCGACTGAGACCACGGTTTGCCTAAGGGTGGTTGGTTTGTGGGATCTGAATATCCTGGGTTCATGTGTGGCAAGTACTGGGCAAAACCAGGTGGTATGTTGGGATTCAGCCCAGGTGAGTGTGCCAATGTGTTTTGGTTCGAAATAGAATATGGGAGCCCATAGTGTGTGTTCGGTGAAAAGGGCTTTGGGACAGACATGGAGAGCATTCCATTGCTTCCCTAGCCTTCTGTCAGTCTTGTTTGCTTGAAAACCTGTGGTATAACTCATAAAGGTACCCGAAATAAATCTTGCTCCTGCGTATATGCATTATGGACGCTGGGCAATATAGAATTTCTAGTATCTGTGTAGTATGCGGGCTGGCTTCTGCTGTCACTAGGACCGAACTGCGTAGTATCAGGTCAACTACCATGGCATATTGCAGATATCCGTAGCTTACCATGGGTGTGCCTGCGCCACCACCTTGCCCAAAGTACGGACCAGCTTGATATTGCTCGGCTTGGAATGGACCATGCAAAGCATTCGCATCAGGGTTAGTTTCGCGATTAGTCTCGTTATCAACTTCGCGGTTTGGTTGATCAGGCATGGATCTACTGTGCACAGCCTGGTCGCTCATGTCGGAAAGTGCGCAGATGACTGAGTGAATTGGTTTCGTGCGACTATCCAACGACCTGTGGTGAGATAGTGCTAGGAGAAGTTATTACTAAAGGGCGAGACTGATTGCATTAGATTGTATGCCCACCTTTTCGACAACGTCTAAGAACTTTCAGAGCCCGTAGAGTAGCCTCGCCCACTCGCAAGAGCGTCGCACATTGAAACTGAATAGTATGGCGCGAGATAGAAAGATCAGCGATGTCTAGCACACTATTTTTTCTTTTGAAAATGATGAGTCCAGACGAGCCTTTTTTATGGAAAGCATGGAGGGCGAGTGATCTTGGCAAAAGCAAGGCAAATACGGAAGAGTGAATAAGTAAAATGATTTTGCACCATTGTGCCACGTCATGTGAAGTTGACATCAACCATTGAGAATAAAGGAATTGAACATGAGTACCAGAACTTGAAACCAGGAACCATTGCCCACTCGTCGAAAACGAAATCTAATAACCTCCACCCGCACATAGACTTCAGAAAATCTGTCAGCGCCACCCAACTGTCCATTCTAAGCTACATGTAGCTACCAAATCATTATGTGACCGGTCTATGACATGTAAAGTGTCATTCAGCCATACAAAGTACCCTTAGTACGCTCACTAAATTGGGTCTCGTTGTGGAGATGTTGAGTAACATCCATTGTAGTGATAATGTGGTCGTAACTGAGCTTTTCTTCCTTGCGACTTGCGAGTAGCCTGGCTATCTTGAGGATGTTCTTGACTTGACGACCGTTCAGATCCATGCGTGCAAGATCCATGAGTTGAGACTTGGAGATGGTATGTTCTTGCGAGGAAGAATCCAAAAAGTTTTTCCACACAGTCTTGCGTGATTCCACAGTAAGGCCAGGGTAGTCAAGTGAAATGTGGATACGTGACTGGAAAGCTGGATCAAATGTTTGGACGCGATTGGTGGTAAGAAACATCGTACCCTCGTAGTACTCCAAGACGCGAAGAAAGATTGAGACCAACTTGTTGCGCTCGAGCTCGTGAAGTGAACGTTGTTCTAGGAAGACATCTGCCTCGTCGAGCAAGAGAACGGCGTTCCAGCGACTGCACATCTCAAGAATGTCTTGCAGATTGCTCTCCAGTCTTCGAGGGTCGAAGCCAAGATCTCCAGCGCTCATCATATAGAGTGGGACCTTCATCTCTTCGGCAACTGACTCGCTGGTGAGAGTTTTACCAACACCGGGCGGGCCACATAGTAGAACAATCATGCCCTTACCCTTGCCTTCAATGACATCGTCGAAGCTGTCGCGGAACTTGCGTTGAGACTCAGTGAAGCCCAGAATCAGCTCCTTCTGGTTCTTGGGCAGCACTAGCCTATCAAATGCATCAGTCTGCCATTCAATATCCTTAACGCAGTTGACGAAGAAGTTCAGCCAAAGTTTGTTCTTTAGACTGTACCCGCGCAGCAGAGGCGAGCAAATGAGCTTCTGCTCCGGCGTCAAGGGTGTATGCTTTGCCACGTCGTCTTCGTCCGCGAAAGCGCCATCGATAGGCATTCCACTATCGTCTCCGTCGAGATCGTCATCATCTTCCTCTTCTTGCTCGTTCTCAGAATCGTATCCGTCTCCATTACAGCGAGACGCTGAATCGGCAGGCTCTTTCTGGTTGAGTGGAGCCACAAAGATTGATTGCGTCGGATTAAAGCGATTCCAGCCATATGTGTCGATCACAATCCGACCTTTGACATTGTACTTGTCCTTGGTGCCGAACTGTCCCTTCCTCCAAGCGACACCCTGGTAAGCTCGATAATTGGCACCGGCAAGCTCCTCAGTTTTGGCCCCACGCTCAATAAGGCGAGTGCGGACAATGTCGCCTTCAGGATGGAACTCGAGGGGATAAACTCGAAGGGAGGTGATGGCGCGTGTTCCGGTGTAGATTGAAATAGACAAGTTGATCTTGTTGGTTCCAAACTTGGCGCCATCCCAGTCCACGTACTTACACGTTAGCCAAAAACAAGGTATGCCATTACAATCTTGACCATAGCGCGTCTCTACCAAGGACAGGGCTGTTTCCTGGCCGTCTTGTCGGGCGAATACAACCGATCCTGGCTGGAAAAGCGTCCAAAGATGCTCGAAAGTCATGACTCGTTTACTCTTCATGTCTTGTGAAGTGTCGATCATGTTCTTGAATTCTTTTGTGAGGATACCCTGCAGAAGCTCTGCGTGCGCTTTTGTTGTGCGCTGCTCTTCGGTTTCATCGCTGAGCTTGGCAATGGCGCCCTGCAATTCAGTCCTGTACATGGCGTTAGTTTGTGGATGGTCTACAATGAGCCAAAGAGCACGGGAGACTATCTTACCAGCGATGGATGAGGGGTTCAAATTTTCCAGTAAACTCGAGACGATTGAGACCGACAGTCACTCCAGGGTAGCCCTTCAGTACCTTGACGAGGAGTTTCTTGAGGAGTGGACTCTGCACGACAATTGAGTGCATGGATAGCACGCGGCGCGGGTCGTTGTAGACTTTGACATTTCGCACAAGAAGTGCCCATTTTGCGGTCTTCTCGTTCTCGGCAGGATCACCCACATCCTCAGGAATCTCTTCCTGCCATTGGAAGCGTCCTTTCTTGTCTTCTTTGCCAGAATAAAAGTGCTTGAGGCCATTCTTCATTCCTGGCTCGCAAGGCTCATCGTCCTCTTCGCTCTTCTCTTTGACCACGCCATTAGGCTTGCACTTGCCGTTAACCAGAATGTGTTTAATGCCGTTCAGCTTGGGCTCGTTGTCACCCGAAGACATGGAGGAGACTGATGGCGATCGGTCTCGGTGCCCTCTATCCCGCGATTCTCGCCTCCATTGCTGGCGCTCGAATATTCCTTTGTCCAGCTCCATCGGTCCGTTTGCTTTCTGGGTGGCTTTTGGGGATGTAGAAGGGGTGCGGGTTCAAACCGACTTCTTGTATTAGAGAGGTTATGAGGTGGCCCAGGGAAACCCTTTACTTCAATGGGGGGGGGCACTCAATTGATGAAAAGGCGAGAGAGAGAGGTCGATGAAGCTGCAAGGCCAGCTTGAAGTACTTCGAATCAGCCAAGTGTAACTAATCTTACCGGTGAGGCTGCAGTGCTGCCTATGCAATTGGAGGCCTCCTTGCTGCACACTATGACGAGATAGACCTATCAGCGAGTCCCAGCTGTATGACTGTAATAGGAGACGCTAGTCCGAATCCATCTCCACGCAAGGCAGTCACAATGCGCTGTTCGCCTTTGCATGCATCTTGTCGGACCAGGCTGTCGATGTTGATGCCTGGCGCCCCGTGCATGACGCCACAGGGTGATTGATCGCCGCAAAAAGGGCTGACGCCTAGGACTAACAGAGGCTTTGCTGAGCGGGGGATCGCTACGGGGCAAAAGCAAAAGACATGATAGCTGTGAGAAGGGTGAAATACGAGATATCGAATCTTGGGCGTGGTTACAGGGGGCCCACACATCAGGTAAGGCTGGGGGTGAGGCTGGAGATGAGTGTGGCGGTGCGCAACCGGAGATACCCCGCGCGACCGGCGTCGGCGTCGGCGTCGGAGCCCCGCGCCATCTTTTTCATCTCTCAGGTGTGAGCCCAACTTTTTTTTGCGTGGCTCATTCAAGAAATTCACGTCAAGCCTCAGGCGCTCCCTGGCCCAGAATGACTACTTTGATCAAGGTGCCCTGCTCGTCAGCCAACATTGGCCCTGGCTTCGACGTTATCGGCCTTGCGCTCAACCTTTACCTCGAACTCGAGGTCACCGTCACCAAAAAAGACAAGTCTGAACATGCGCTCAATTGCAGAGTAACATATCAAGGCGTAGGCGTTGAAGATGTTCCCCTCAATGCGCAGGACAATCTCATCACACGAACAGCCGTATACGTCCTCCGCTGCCATGGCGTCCGCGACTTTCCCTCCGAGACACACGTACATGTCAAGAACCCCATACCCCTAGGGCGAGGCCTGGGTTCATCAGCTGCAGCCATTGTGGCAGGTGTGCATTTGGCCAACGAAGTGGGCAATCTCAACCTGTCAAGGGCACGCATGCTCGACTATTGCTTGATGGAAGAGCGACACCCTGATAACGTCGCGGCAGCGCTCTATGGAGGCTTTGTCGGCACCTATCTAAACGAACTCTCACCCGAAGACACGGAGCGCCTTGAGATCCCGCTTAGCGAAGTCTTGCCCCAGCCCGCGGGAGGCGTAGATACCGGCCTCCGCCCGCCCGAGCCTCCTCTGAACATCGGACACTACACCAAGTTCAACTGGTCGCCCGCCATCAAATGTGTTTGCATAGTTCCACAATTCGAAGTGTCCACGGCAAAGGCACGCGCCGTGTTGCCGGATTCCTATTCAAGGAAAGATGCCATCTTCAACATGCAGCGCCTGGCTGTCTTGACGACTGCCCTCGGTCAAGCCACACCTGACCCTGACATGATCTACACAGCCATGCAAGACAAGCTCCACCAGCCATATCGTAGTGGCTTGATCCCTGGACTTACCCAGATCCTCCAATCCGTCACACCACAATCGCATCCCGGACTGTTGGGCATCTGTCTTTCAGGTGCTGGCCCAACGATACTGGCTCTTGCAACAGAAAACTTTGACAAGATTGCAGAACATCTTTTGCAAGAGTTCAAAAAAGAGGGCATAACGTGCGATTGGAAGCTACTTGAGCTGGCAGAAGAGGGAACTGTCGTCACTCGTCCTACCAAGACACCACAACCAGCCGGCGAGGCATTGACATATGCATCGTCTGGTGTCAGCATTGATGCAGGCAATGAGCTCGTCAAGCAGATCAAGGCGCTGACTGCCAGCACGAAGCGGCCTGGAGCCGATGGTAAGATTGGCGGATTTGGTGGGCTGCTCGACCTGCAGGCGGCTGGATACAAAGAGGCCCCGATTCTTGTGGGTGCTATTGATGGCATCGGCACAAAGGTCAAGATTGCCTTTGAAATGGGCAAGCATGATACGGTTGGAATCGACCTTGTTGCCATGAACGTCAATGATCTTGTCGTACAGGGTGCTGAACCACTCATGTTCCTCGATTACTACGCTTGTAGCAAGCTCGATGTCGAGGGTGCGGCAAAATTTGTCGAGGGTGTCGCCAACGGCTGCCGGCAATCGGCGTGCGCTCTTGTGGGTGGTGAGACTGCAGAGATGCCTGGTATCTATCAAAAGGGCGAATATGACGCAGGTGGAGCAGCCATTGGCGCCATTAAGCAGGGCGCAACGATATTGCCGGACACAGCTTCCATGGCGGAGGGTGACGTGCTCTTGGGTCTTGCATCAAGTGGAGTCCACTCGAACGGCTTTTCGCTTGTGCGAAGGATCGTTGAGGCGCAGGGCATGTCATACCGGGACACTTGTCCTTGGAGCTCCGGTGAGAATCTAGGAACCGCTCTCCTGACACCGACCAAGATCTACGTCAAGCCGCTGCTAGCTGTAGCCCGGCGGGGCTTGATCAAGGGCATGGCCCACATTACGGGTGGCGGCCTGCTTGAGAATATCCCGCGCATGTTGCCGAAGACCCTGGCTGCCGAACTCGATGCGAAATCATGGCCCCTTCTAGACGTCTTCAAGTGGTTGAAGAAAGCGGGCCGGATGGAGCATACGGAATTTGCGAGAACATTCAACACGGGTCTCGGCATGGTGCTTGTTGTGAAACAAGAGGATGTCAGAACTACCATGGACCGATTGCAAGAGTTTGGCGAGAAGGTCTACGTGGTTGGGTCGTTGAAGAAGAGGACTGATGAGGAGTGCATTGTGAACAACATGGAGGTCTGGGGTTAAGTCAATCCTGTTGTGAGCTGTGGCTATTACGAACGGGCAGAGAACAAAAGTGGTAGGTTTGAGCGTGTAGTGGTTCCTTCTAGTCTGGTATGGGACGGATCCGCAGATTTAGCGGCATATTAAAAAATATATACCCACCTTTTCCTGAGCTTCTAGAGCAAAGTTTTGATCCAGAAACCCGTGTTATTGCCATGGTAGTTGTTTGCTGGGTGACACGCGTCTTTGTCTCAGGAACAATTGCAGGGACTGCTCCAATGTGTCATGACATTACCAGGTCGTCGATGGCGCAATGAATGAGTGCATAACAAGTGTGTCGGCGAACCTTGGAACGTTGAGAATCAGGAGGCTGCAGTACACTACAGCAGAATACAGGGCGACTGTTTTGGACGGGGTGCATTTGCATATGCAAGCCACGACTTGTTGTGGGGACAAAGAGCCTGCGAGCTGCGAGGACGCGTAAATCAAACTATCAGTGGCTCCCAAGCCGAGAGCATTGTTCCGATGAGGCCAACGTGCCCGAAAGCTAAGCCGCTTAGTCAGACGAAGATTACCCGGCTGGCTGTGAGGGTGAATGCTACTGGTTCACCAAGAGTTGGTCTGCTGGGAAGAGGTGATGTGCTAGCATGGTAACGAGTGGAAGGGTTGCAAAGTAAGCGCACACCTGTCCCATGCTTTCCGCTCGACCTTCTAGAACGTCTCACCGCCGTAGGGTAGGCCGCATTAGCCACACACCCACACGCCATACAGGCAGTTACAAGTACGTGGAGAATATGGTTTGGCCCATGTCTTGCTCAAGGCGAACAAAGCCGGCAGTGACGTGAGGCCCACGTATCACGCAACGGATGACATGTCAACCCAGGCACAGCAAGGAGAAAAAAGGGGGGGCGCGTCCTGCTTGGTCGTCTTGCCGAGGGCATGTAAACGAGATGGAGGACCAAGGCCGCGAGAAGCGTGGCTGTCTGTCGAGGGAGCAAAGAATCTGTTGAGGCAAGCCCTCTTAGGCGCTCAATATGACTCCTAGCTCCCCCGGTCGTCCATGTATCCTGACGTCGACATGCAAAGTATGCACAGGTGGGCCGCAGGCGTGATTCGAGACACAGCCCAAGACGCCAATGCAGGCAGGGAGGACTGCTGTAAGTAGTGATGGAGCGGGCACTGGCGAGAGGCGTGGTGGTGGTGGTGGTGTACAGGCGCCGGCACGACTGAAACCGTGTGCTACCTACTCGGCGCAACGGGCTAGACCTGGTGGGGCACCACCATGCCCATCCCGCCCTTCTATTCGCCAGGGGCCTGTGTGCTGGTATACGCCGGACCGCTTTGCACCAGGGCTAACTTTTTTTTCCTGCTTCGACTCAGAGTCGACAGACTGTCTTTGGCGCTGGGTACTCGTTGCGCACCTTGTCCTGTCTCCCGAAGCTGACAGCATTACATGGCAGCAAGCCAGCCAGCCAGCCCCCCAGTCTTGACCACTCGTCACCCCCTCTAATCGGCAGCCTCGACCTAGCCCTATCTCACCACCCCCTCCCCATACTAGACCGAGCGATTACAACTTATCTCTCTGGGACCCCCTCCCCCTTCCTTCACAATGTCTGCTCCCCACGACTCCGCCGCCGCCCAATCCAACTCGGTCAACACCACAACCCCAGCCAGCTCTCACGTCGAGTCCATCAACAATGGCCCCTCCCAAGGCGGACTCTCCACCTCCGGTGCCTCCGCCGCCGCCGAACTCGCCAGTCTTAAAAGCACGCTGAGGTCGTCATTGCGCCAATTCCCAGACTTCCCCAAGCCGGGCGTCCTCTTCGAAGATATCATGCCCTTGTTCGCCAACCCACAGCTACACGAGAGCCTGGTACGCGGACTGGAACTCGCCGTCGAAGAGTACTTTAGCGCATCCGGCAAACCCGATGTTGTTGTCGGATTAGATGCGCGCGGATTTTTGTTTGGCCCCAGTCTGGCGCTGAGAATGGGCGCCAGTTTTGTGCCAGTGC